TTTTTGTAATAGCAAGAATAAATTAATCCAGTTCACAGTTTTCTTTGTAAACTTGTTTTACATAATTACTATAGACAGGCTTGGTGGTGACCTAATGAAACTTTTATTATCTGCTTTTGTGTCTTTCACTTCGCTATGCCCGCGTCTCTTCTCGAGTTGTCACTCAGTAGGGAAAGTAGCTGAGTTGCAGAGACAATTTCCTGAGGATAATATGCTCAATAATATCTCACTTTTGAATTTGTATTTGCTATTCCAGTCTATTTTGATATGAGGCAATATCAAAATAACAGGACATTAAGGCAGCAAGGCACTTGAGAGGCACAGGCAGAAGGACCAGAAGTTCATGGCCAGTAAGTTTTGAATGAACTTGACTCCCACAGGCTCATATATTTTTGCATGCTTAGTCTCCAGCTGACATCAGGGAAGGGTTAGGTATGGCCTTCTGGAAGGGGTGTGTCACTGTGATTGTTGGGGTAGACGTGACCTTGTTGAAGGTGTGTGTCACACCAGGCCCAGGGTCTGTCCATCTCACTCTGTCTGCTGACTGCCAATAAGGATATAGAGCGCTTAACTATTGCTCCAGTGCCTTCCTGCCTGCTGCCATGCTCCCCACCAAGGTATTAATAGATCAACCCTCTGAAACTTAAGCAAGCCCCCAATTAAATACTTTCTTTTATACAAGGTGTTTTGGTCATGGTGTTCCCTCACATAGCAATATAAAAGTGACTAAGACAGCCAGTATGATCTTTACAGTGAGTTCCAGGGAAGCCTGGACTAAACAGACAATGAAAACAAACAAAAAGGGCTGAGGATGTACTTCAGTAGAGTGCTTGCCTGCATACACAAAGGTTTTTGGGTTCAATCACCACATCAACCTGACATGTGCTTATAATCCCAGCAAGTTCAGAATCAGCATAGGCCATAAAAAAACCTGTCTTTGTTTTGTTTTGTTTTTGTTGTTTTCCGAGGCAGGGTTTCTGTGTAGCCCTAGCTGTCCTAGAACTCACTTTGTAGACCAGTCTGGCCTTGAACTCAGTGATCCACAAGCCTCTGCTTCCTGAGTGCAGGATTAAAGGCGTGTGCCCCAACAAATGGGGCTGAAGAAATGGCTCATTGGTTAAAAACATTTCCCGCTCTTCTGGAGGACCTAGGTTTAGTTCCTAGCATTTACATTTGGTGGCTTGCAATCGCTTATAACTCTAGCTCCTATAATCTGACACTCTTCATAGTTACCTGCAACAAACCACATGATACACACACACACACAAGCTTTAAACAAACAAATAGGGCTGGAAAAATGGCTCAGTGGTTAGAAGCACTGCTATTCTTGAAGATGCCCTGAGTTCTGTTCCCAGCACCTATATCTGGCAGCTCACAACTGCCTGAAATTCTAGTTCCAGTGAACATGGCTAGCCTCCTTAAATAACCCCCACCCCTACAGACAGACAGACAGACAGACAGACACACACACACACACACACGCGCACACACACACACATTAACAATGTAGTGGCTCAAACCTTCAATCCCAGCACTCAGGAGGCTGAGTCCATACATTTGGTCATATTGAAAGAGTATCTGTTTAGTATACAGAAGGCATCAAGTTTGATATCATCAAAACGAACACAAACCGATCAAACACACACACACAACCACACCATCCCCCCACACCAGTTATGTACAATACATAACACTTACCTAGATATTAATTCTTGGCCCTATAGTCAATATGAAAGAAATAAGGTTCTTTAGGACACCTTTTATTTCTTTCTTATTTTTAGGTGTTGAGGATAAAATGCAGGGCCTCACATTCAAGTACTCTAATACTAAATTACATTTCCACATCTGTAGGCTCTGTTCACTGATCCAGGTATTAGAGTGACAATGCCATCCCCATGTTTGGAAGGCAGGAACACTGAGAGTTCAAGGCCAACCTAGGGTGGATTTTAGTTAAGATGCTGTTTAAGATAGTAAAAAATTTGATTTGTTGGTAGTTTATAAAATCATACCACCACTGAGGTGAAAAGTTGGCCACCGGCGGCAATGAAATACAATAGACAAAAAGCACCTTGCACCAGAACACAGTAAGAAATATACTGTGAAATGTTTGCTTCAGCTTCTTACAAGATTTACTTGAGTTACATGAGACCCTATCTAGAAACAGAAACAAGTGCTCAAAATATTTATATATTAACCTTTTGTGTGTGTTAGAGACCAAACATGAGACTCCATGAATCTATTTATTTATTTATTTATCTATCTATTTATTTATTTATTTATTTATTTATTTATTTATTGAGGCAGAGTTTATCTGTGTAACCTTGGCTGTCCTGAACTCACTTTGTAGACCACGATGGCCTCAAACTCAGAGATCCACCTGCTTCTGCCTCCCTGAGTGGTGGGATTATTATGAGCCACTGCACCCAGTTAGCTCTGAGACCTTTTAATTAAATACTTAGAAATCTTAAACAGTTAATGTTTAAAAATTAGTAAGTTGTTTATCCTGGCTGTCCTGGAACTCACACTATGGAGACCAGGCTGTCCTCAAACTCAGAGATCCACCTGCCTCTGCCTCCCGAGTGTGGGACTAAAGGTGTGTGCCACCAGCCCAGCTGGTCTTTGAAGCTTTACCTGGTTAGTTCTGAAAGCAATTGGTATATATTTAGCAGAACGTTAGCCACCTCCCATCAAGTGAACTGCTCGTTTAATAAATTTACTGCATTAATGGATTAAGTACCAAACAATGAGCACATAATGCACAAAAGAGTGTATGTCTCGGGGGGGGGGGTGCTGGGGAGATGGCTCAGTGGCTGCTCTTCCTTACAGCCTACGTTTTACTCCTAGCATCCAAATGGCGGCTCATGACTGTAACTGCAGCTCTACAGGATTTAATGCTCTTTTCTGATTTCCATGGGCACGACATGTATGTGGTACAAAGAAAAACATGCAGATAAAACACATACACACACACAGATAACAGACCTTTTCTTCTACATCAAGCCCCTGGGACATCATAAATCCTTAAAGGCTGGGTGCAGGAGAGTGGCAGGCAGTCCATGCCTATAATCTCAGCCCTTGGGAGGCTGACTTCAGAGCACCCTGAATTTGAGGGCAGCGTGGGCTATGTGAGTCTGCCTTCCCACCCCCCATTAATTTTAGAAGACATCAAAGAATGTGCTTTCATCCTACTTCAGGCCTTGGGGCATGCGTCTGAGGATGGCTCAGAGTGCCAGAGCTGTATCCTGCCACCTAGAGACAGATGCCGAGGGACGTGAATTGGGTGGGGACAGGGTCCTGGAGCTACTGTCTTGGTCTGAGAAGCCTCTTAGAGGAAATTTGCTTTTGTTATTTGTGTGCATGTATGTGAATGTGGCCGGGGAGCCTCTGTGGCAGTCAGAGGCCAACCCTCTGGAATAGTTCTCCATTTCTGCTTTGAGGCAGGGTCTCATGTTTCTGTTGCTATGAGGCATATTCTGTAGCCTACAGTTTCTGAGCTCTGTTACCATCTCACCACAGAAGCCCTGGGGTTACAGATGCATGGAAACATGTCTGGCTTTGTATGTGATGTCAGGGATTGAACCTGGGTCAACAGGCTTGCATGGATAGTGCTTTTACCTGCTGAACCATCTCCCTAGCCTCCACTGTATAGTCCAGGTCTTCCTGGGCTTTCAGCCTTGCTGCCCTTGGCAATCTCCTGTAGATGTACTCTGATGGTATCAAGATTCTGCCTTAACTGGCCTTGGTTGTAATCTAGCAGGAAAGTACTGAGAACCCCACAGGTTGATCTAATGTATAACTGAGAACGGTAACCACTGAGAAGCTGACTCTACTGTTAACTATGCCTCTCCTACAAGCTCTTACTGTGGTCATCTGTACTTCTACCTCTACAAAGACTAGGCCATCGATGACCTTACCAACAATGGATGCAGCCCTTTATTCACTGATTAGAAGTATTTCTGTCTCAAAAACAAACAAAGGAGATTGCACATGGTGGTGCATGCTTTCAATTCTAGCACTTGGGAAACAGAATCAAGAAGCTATCTGAGTTCAAGGCCAGCTTGGTCTATACAGTGAGCTCCAAGCCAGCTAACGAGATCTTATCTACACATATACACACAGACACACAGACACACACACACGAAACACGGAAATAGAGAGATGTAGAGATGGCTCAGGTTAGGGGTACCTGCTGCTCTTGCAGAGTACTCAGCAACCACATGGTAGCTCACGATCCTCTGTAACTCCAGTATCAGGGAATGTGATGCCCTCTTCTGGACTCTGCAGGCATGCACATGGTGCAAACAAATCCACACAAGCAAAAACCTCACACACTTTAAATAGAGATGCGCCTCATCCTCAGCGCAGTATGATGCACACCTCATGCACTGCCCACAGGAACCCGAGCAAATGACCCTACAAGAGACAAACATCGTCCATCCCACACCCACTTCTGAACATATGTTCCTCATATCCTCCAGTGGGTGGAATCACCCACACCACTTAGAACTTTTTTTTTTTTTTTGGAGGATTCAGAGCTGAGTTCATGTGATGTGCTGTCAGAACAATTACATCCAGCCCAAACGGGCCTCCTTCCTGTCCCTGCCTCACAAGCAGTTGGCCAGTATCTTTCCCAGAGACCCTTTCAGAGGCAACACAGTGAGACCTGTCTCCAGGTCTCTATCTTTGGCAGCTCTCACTAACTCTTCTCCCCAGGGATCTTGGCTCTACTTGGGTCTGTAGATAAGGTGGTGAGATTTTCTTTACCAACTGGAGGAGGTATGGCCTGAGACTCCCCTTAGGCAGTTTTCTCTGCCCAAGAGAAGGGACTCAGCTAGGGAGCTGGGCTTGGAGGGCACAAACAAATACAATAATGTGTAATATGTTTCTTATGAAAACGTGGATGGGATTCCTGCCACCTTTTACGATATACCCTGAGGTCTAGATTTTATCTGCTTACCTGAGACCCCAGGCCAGGCCTTCTACACCAAGCCACAAGAAGCTCAGCAGTGCTCACAGGCCTTTAATCCACAACTTTCTGGTCATATTCCATCCCTGCCCCAAGATGGCAGGGAAGAATGAAGATGCATGTAGGCCACATGATACATTCAAGAGAGAAGGGCTGGAGTCAGACTGAAGCCTGGACAGGGGGGTCCTGGCCCCAGGAGATGAGGGAGTTGCTGGCCTGGGCAAGCTCAGTGATGGACACCCGGCCCCGCTGTCGGATGAAATTGGCCACGGCAGCCAGTTCCTCTGGGGTTATGTAGATGAACTTGCCCCTGTCGTCAATCACACCTGTGGAGACATGCACGCTGTAAGATGGAGAACTCCCACCTAACCTGAAAAGGCCCATCTATTCCTTCACAACTGATTTACGGTCTCTTAGCTCTCCTGTCAGCCTGGCCCTTCCTGGGTACATCAACTCCCATGTAGGTGAGTCTTAGCAATCCTTTCTTTGTATCCCTCACTCCACCGCTAGGCTGAGGCTTCTATGTCTTCCTCGTGACAAAGTCCAATTCCTCAGTGCCCCTCACTGCATGTCCCTCCCAACCTGGAGATACCAGGTCCCTGCAGCCTTCTGTAGTCACTCACTCCCATGGGCCAGGTCCTCCGTTTCTCACCTGTTAGAGTCCCCTCCGCCAGCAGGTCCTGGATGCGGTTTATGGTGTCCTGTGAGGAAAACGAGTCTCAGTGCTTGCTTTGTAGGTCCATGACCACAGACCCATTGCCCCTCCTCTTATCATGCTGTCTCCTGCTGTGTCTGTGCTTCTCCTGGGAGGGACTCTTGAGTAAAGGGATCCTACAATCTGCTAAGCCTTGATGGAAGCTCTCTTCCAGCTGAGAAAGGAATAATAAAGATGTCTGGTTGCAAAACATAACTGGATTTGGGCTGCTCTGGTCACCAGGCAGGCTAAAGTATGGCATCTGAATTTCCTTTTTCTTTCCTGTTCTTTTCGTCTCTGTAGAAATGCAGGATTCCCGGAGTGCCAAGAATTCCTACACCCTGTTCACTCTTGGTTGGGGACAGCTTACCATCTTCAGGCCAGCTGCCTACTTTCTACTGGGCACTTAGGCATGATAGCTATATTCCACATTCTAATCCACTTTCCAGGGGCTTACCTGAGTCCTCAGGCCCATCTGGAAAGCCAGGTCTTCCAAAAGCACAACCTTGGTCTGCTACAGATAAAAGGAAGAAGAGGGAGAGAGGCTGAGACCACTCGGTCAGCTCTATGTCAGTAAGATGCCCTGTATTTAAAAGCAAGGTGGAGATGACATGGCACTCCAGGAATCCTGCATTTCTACAAAGGGAAAGAAAAAGGAAATTCAGATGCCATACTTTTGCCTGCCTTGTGACCCGAGCAGCCCAAATCCAGTTATGTTTTGCAAACAGGAAATGACACCCAAAGCCACTTTCCACCTTCTACATTCGTGCACACACACCATTTCTTTAAATAACATTTTCAAATGTGTGTGTGTGTGTGTGTGTGTGTGTGTGTGTGTGTGTGCGCACGCGCAGCAACACACATGCAGAGGTCAGAGGATGACTTTCAGAAGTTGGTTCTTTCTAATCACTATGTGAATCCCAGGGATTGAACTCAGATCTTAAGGTTTGACAGCAAGCACCTGTACTTACTGAGCCATCTTGCCAACCCCAAAGTTGGTCTTTTTGTTTTAAGCTTTCAAAAATAAAAAATAGTTATTTAGGCCAGGTATTGTGGTACATAACTGTGATTCCAGTATTTGGCACACAGAGGCAGGAAGGTAAGGAGTTCAAGACCATCTTTGGCTATGCACTGAGTTTAAGGCCTCTCTGAGCTACCAGACTCCATCTCAAAAAACCAGCAAAACAAAACTTCTCATATCGACTTGTTTGCTGAGGACCTGCTGGACAAGGAACTAAGAAGGTGCAGGATGGGCTGCAGACATGGCCCAGTGGTTTAGAGCACTTGCACTCTTACAGAGGGGCCTCCCACATGGTAGACTCAGAACCTCCCATAACTCCAGTTCCAGGGAATGTGACACCTTCTTCAGATCTACAGGAACACAGCATGTATGTGGTGCACATATGTTCATGCAGGCAAATATATTCACACACATTTATGGGGAAAAAAGGAAGGGTTTGAAGGAATAGTAAACAAGAGACAGTTCCTACCCCCGAGCTAAAAACCTATCTGTGGAAACAGACGTACACAGGAAAGGAAAGAAGAGGTGACAGGGTACACAGCACACAGGAGCACCTACAAGCGCACACACAAACTGACCTAACTAACAGCAGGAAAAGTGCTCTCTGCATGCAGTCCTGAGCTGTGTTTCACATGCTGCTCTCACACCCTCAGTAGAGACTTTAGTTCCCAGCAGCTCAGTCAAGGAACTCACAGCTGGGTCCACGCATGCATCTGCCCCCACCTTTGCCACATATAGCATAATGACTTGAGAGAAGGCGGTCCTTTGCATTTCCGTGAATCTCCCACAGCAAATGAACTGGGGGAGTAATGACATGGTGACACCTCCTCAGCTACATATGGCATGTGACTTGTTGGAATGCCAAACCGTACGTGCAGGCAGGGGTGTGGGGCAGGCGTGGGAGGGTTGGGAGGATGCAATCAAGAGGCAGCTGGACCAAGGAACAGGCGAGCACAAGGTGATCTGGCCAGCAGCCTCTACCTATACAACAGACCAGGCACTAGGCTCTCAGTGGTCCCTCTTGGAGCAGGACCAGAGTCAGCTCCTGTGCTGCTGGTTCCTGAGAATCTGGCCTGAGGTACTGCTGGGGTCAAAAGCGGATCTGAGCAAACATGTACAGAGCCATGGTACAAAGTGGAACAGACATCCTCACTGGTCACGAGGTGAGCTGTGTGCAGAAACCTTCCTCCAGTTCTGAAATTCTATCTAAAGGGTCAGATCTCTTGGAGTGAGGAAGGAAGATGGAGTGAATTTCAGAAGTTCTCTTCCTTCCTCCAAGATGGTAGCACCAAGAGACAGGCTGGGCAAATTCCTAAGTTCCAAGAGTTTGGAGAACATCAAAAATGGAAACTCCAGGGAGCCATCAAAAGCAAGAGCCAGACCTACCTGAGAACTTTCTTCTTGCCCCCGAAGAAAAGAGAGCAACACGGAGGCTGACCTCTAAATCCACCTGGGGGTCCTCATGAAGGAAGTACTTTAGGCCCAGGCTGCTTCCCGCTGTTTAGGTAAGGACAGCGAGTTCTCAGCAAGAGCAGGACAATGTGAAAAATTCTGCCCAGGGCAGTGTGCCAGGGTGGAGTGCAGGCTTCATCAAAGGGGAGCACTCACAACCTAAGAGAAAAGGACCCTCTGGAAGAGGCTATGGCTTCTTCCTCTTAGGGAGTCTGGGCCCCTCACTGCTGCTGGGAGATGTCTAAGCACTGTTTTCTTTTAGGAGAGGTGGGGGAGGATTATGCAAGCCCCAGCTTCTTGGCAGCCCCTGATACCACCCCCACCATCGCCCCCGCTCCCTCTGCACTCCTTCCCTCAGCTGCCTCTGCACCTCTGAGCTGCACTTGAAAACCTCTCCCCTTCTCGCATCCTTTGTGGGAGAGAAGTTGCTTAGCAGCAAAGCGCATCAGGACACGCTTATGCAACCCAGAGCAGCATCAGGGCAGCCTGTGAAGTGGCTTTGGACAGAGGGACACTGCTGATTGCTCAGGGTTACAATGGAAACACCATCCTATGTCTTCTAGAAGGCCCAAGTTCCCAGTCAGGAGCACAGAGCACAGGACATTTGTTCCAATTCAGTGGAACCTCAGTGTGACAGAACTGACAGAAAACACATGTGAACTGACTTCAAAACATGATGACTCAGTGAGCGTGGGGTCTGAAGAGCAGAGGAACTGTCAAACCAAGTATTAGGGAGCCATCAGAGGCTTGAGCCTCCCACACAGACCTCTGTCCTCTACCTTCTGGGTATGAAGGAAAGGGACTTTCCTGGCCGAGAACCAGTAAGCAACCTTTCTGAACTCCATGCCCATTCCAGTCCAAGACTGAATGAGACACCTCTCCTTGTTTGTGAGAACATATACAAAACACACAGACACATATGTATTCTTACGTGGCAGAAGATTCCAGAGTTCTCTGAGTCTCTTACCTTAATGTAATTGATGAATTCTGTCAGGAAGCTGTGAGACTAAAGGGCAGAGAAACCAGTGAGCACCGGCCCTGGCTGGAGGCACAGGGCTCTGTGCCTGGCTCTAATATCTATACCCCCTGCTTACCCACATGCTGCCTGTCTTATGTTCCCACCCCATCATCTGCTCTCATGAGGGGCAGAGGCTCCCAAACTAAGGGATGACAGGACAATGTTCTCTGCTGAGACCAAGGCTACAGTCACAAGGGCCTACATCTACTGGCACCCAACATGCTTCTTGGTACATGGCCACAAGTGTCTAAGGTGGCATGGGTGGCCTCAGACCCAACAAACACTACCTTCGTGGCAAAGGTTTCCCAGGAGTGATGGGCCCACCTGCTCCTCAGTCATGGTTTCGCTAACACCTTCCTCTTCTACCACGAAGGCCTCCTTCAATTTCAGGTACTCCTCGTGCTCCCGCTGGGCCTGCTCCTCCCGAGCCTTTCTCTCTTCCTCTTCCTGTGGACACAGAGACAGAAGGGGCAGGTATTTGGGGCAGCTGCCCACTCACATCTGTTCTTGTCTCTGCAGGATGCAAGCACATACAGTCCAGAGACAGCACTTCTTCAGGCTAAACAACAGGTGGAGGCCCTCCTCACCAGCCTGTCATCACTCAGGAGATGATGCTCAGACCCTTCCCCTGTGCCCTTGCTCAGGAGGTTAACTTAGGAAAAAAATTCTTGAAAACTTTGCCACAACTTCTCCCCAGTCATGTCCAAATACGACAAACTGCAGGTTCTGCTTCCTGCCATCCATGCACAGAGCCAGCCCACTGTGGTCTGGCTTCTGAATCACGTGACCCACCTCTCCTAAGTGTGGCAGAACAGTGATTTATTTCCAAACAAGTATGAGAAGACAGGGGAAAAAATAGTAAAAGCATACAGTAATACCTCAATAGTGGAGTACTTCCCTGGAATGCACAGATTCAATGTTCAATATTCAGTACTGGGAAAACCAAAAAACCAAAACCAAAATAAAACAAAACAAAACCAAAAAAAAACACCTAACTCCAGTCTAACCACAAGATAAACAAACACCAGTCATTCCAGGATTTCAAATTCAGAGGTAAGCAGAGTACAAGTTTGAGGCCAGCCTGTGCTACAAAGACTCTGTCTCAAAAAAACCCAAAATTTTTACATAGTAAGACTCTTTGTCTCAAAAAAACAAAATTCATTAATTAAAAAAATAAAATAAAATAAAGGTGGAATACACCTTTAATTCTAGCACTCAAGAGGTAGAGTCAGGCATCCTGGTCTACAAAGTGAGTTCCAGGACAACCAGGGCTACACAGAGAAACCCTATCTCAAACAAAGTAAAACAAAAACACAATAAAAATCAAGGCTGGAAAGATGGCTCAGCTGTTAAGAGCACTGGCTGTTCTTTCAGAGGACCCAGTTTGGTCGTCAGCACCCCAATAATGGACTTCATTTTTTAATCTAAAAGACAAATAAAATAAAATAAAATAAAATAAAATAAAATAAAATAAAATCAGCCAATCCAAACCAAGTTACAATCTACAAACTACTTTCCCCATACCCTTCAAAGATGGTAAGATGATAAACAAGAAAAACCTGACAATTAATCCCATAGAGGTCTAAGAAGACGTGACAAATAAATGAAACACAGTAAGTCAGGTATGACCCCACTAAAGAAAAATACTTGGGCTGGAGAGATGGCTCAGTGGTAAAGAATGCTTGATGCAATTCCAGAGGACCTGGGTTCAATTCCCAGGACCCACATGGTCACTCTTAACAGTCTATAACTACAATTCCAGGGGACCTGATGCCCTCTTCTGGCTTCGGAGGACCTATGTACGTGGCTCAGTTAGTAGGGTGTTTGCCCAGCAAGCATGAAGCCCTAAGTTCAATTCCCTACTAAATTAGGCATAGTGGTGCATGCCTCTACTCTCAGAAGTTGGGAAGTAGAACCAGGATGAAAGGGCATCATTGGCTACACAGCAAGTTCAAGGCCAACCCGCTGTCTCAAAAAATGGAAGGAAGGAAGGAAAGAAGGAAGGAGTCTGAATAAAGTGTGACACTTAATTTAATTATTGTGAGAGGTGCACCAGCATCTTATAGTGAGGAGGCTGCTGAGGAACTTGGAACAGAGAGAGGCAGGACACGGAAGGTAAATGAGGCGGGATCACTACCCAAAGTGAAGAACTTTCTCTGCTCATGCCTCCCACTGCCACTCCTATGGTGTCCATGGCCAGGCATTCTCTACATAGACAAAGCTCGGGAACAAGGCCAACCAGAGGCCCTCTTGTTTTATGCACCCTACATGTTTTCACTTCCCCATCTGTTAGAAACCGGGTTCTAGAATCACCTGGCAAGCAGGGATTCATTAACCACCTTTCTGTGGTGATTGCAGCTCTTCCAGCACTGGGCCTATGTCAGGCCCTAAACGGATTCACCATCTCTTAAGACTGTTGATAACCTCAAGGTCCCTGAAACATATAACTGCCTAACTTCTCTGTCTCCTTTCCTCCTTGGTAATTTTTTTGGCTCCAGATGCTCTGACCATGTTCAACATCCTTCAAATGTCTATGTATTTTTCATAGCTGATGCTCACAAGAATCTTCAGCTCTGGGCAGCAGGGAGTTCAGCAGTTAAGAGTATTGGTCACTCTTCCAGAGGACCTGGGTTCCAATCCCTGAACCCACATGGTAGTTCACAGCCATTTGTAACTGCAGTTCTGATGCCCTCTTCGGGCCTCCATTGCCATCAGGCACACACACAGAGAAACCTCTCTACAGATCTGCCTGTCTCTGACTCCAAAGTGCTGGGATTAAACGCATGTATTATCACAACCAGCTTTTTTTTTTTTTTAACCTCCATACACATAAAATTAAAAAAAAAAAGAAATCCTCAGTTCAAAGCCATGCTGCTTGCTTCGACAGGTGATGTTCTGAGGCCAGGGGAAGGAATAAACCAGGGCAGGCCCTTGTGCCAGGTCCATGGCCCATCTTCTGTTTTGGAGATGGGAGTTAGCTAGTTAGTCCAGGCTGCTCACCTGCCTCAGTTTCTCAAGTGCTGGGATGACAGGTATGAGCCACCGCCACTTCCAGTACCATGGCCTGTCTTGAAGGATGGAGGCATCTGGGAGCTATCTGGGCGGAAGGCCGGGTAATAACGGGACAGACAACAGTGCCTGGAGTCAATCTCACCTTCTGTTCTTCCTTCAGGCGAAGCCGCTCCTCTTCCTTCTTCCATTCGGCCTCACGTTGGGACTCTAGGCGTTTCCGCTCCTCACGTTCAGCCTCCTCTGCCTGGAGAGAGAGGTTTCTATAGGCACAACCCCCCTTCCTCTGGCTAGTTTGCCCAACCCCTGTGGAGGCCAAAGAAGGCAACACCTGGGCCAGGACATAGGCTAAGACTGCGGGAGACAAAGCCAGGTAGACAGCAAATAGCAGCCCAGCATAAAAGGAACCCAAGGGCGGTCTGTCATGGCAACTAACTATTGGGCCCTTTCCCACCCTCTGAAGCTGTGCCCCACCCTCTTGCTTGCCTCACGCTGGGCTTTTCGAGCCTGTTTTTCCTCTAACTTCCGCAGTTTTTTGGCTCCGATTTTCCCTGTTGGGTGAGCTTCTGCTGGTTTCTCAGCAGCTTCTTCCTCTTGGGCTAGATATGTCAAAGAAAGAGAATTTAAGCCTACACAGAGAACACTTACCCCACCCGGTCACCTTCCTCAAGGGCTTGGGGTGGGTGGTTTCTACCTACCCCTGCCTTCCAGAAGTATCTACCATAAATGTGCATGCACATACAACTGTGAGTGTGAGAGCACACACATGTGTACCTGGGGGTTGGGAGGCCATGGGACAAATACTGCACAGCTGTAAGATGTCAACACCTGAAGGTTTGAGGATTGCAGGTATCTACACCTACAGAAATCCCCGATTTCTCTCTCTCTCTCTCTGCCAAAACTCCAGGGAAGGATGGCCTTGTGGGTAAATTTATTCCTGCCATAAAGCCAACATCCTGTATGTTCTACTCAGGAACTGATGAGTGTCGCAGGCTCCATCAACCAGGATTCTCTCTTTATCTTTTTTCCCCCCAACCGGGTTTCTCTGTGTATAGCCCTAGCTGTCCCGGAACTTCCTCTGTAGATCAAGCTGGCCTCAAACTCATAGACATCCGCCTGCGTCTGTCTCCGGAGTGCTGGGATAAAGATGTGTGCCACTGCCTGGCTCTTCCTTTGTCTTAACAAAGCCAGACTGAAAAAATAACCCCAACCTCAGGGCTGCATCAGAGATAGCTGAAAATTAATGATATACTGATGCCCGAGCCTCAGAGTATATGACTCAAATCTGAGACAGGAAGAATGTTGAAGAGAGGGCCTCTTTGTTGTTGCTGTGTGCTGCTTTGGAAGCAGCTATATAAGCCAGGCTGGCCTAAAATTGGCCATGGTCTTTCCTCCTTCTTCTGAGTGCAGGAATTATAAGCGCGCGCGCGCACGCACACACACACGCACGCGCGCGCACACACACACACACACACTAAAGGTCTCTTTTTAAGCCACAGGGGCTAAAGGCTCAAGTCAAAAGTCCTGATTTCCCCTAAATTCTGAATAAGGTTTAACTATCTCTTCTTCAAGCCAGGTTTCAAGGACTAGAGAAGTGACATTCTTTCCCACAATCGTAAGGACTTTACAAGACTCCCATCATCTGGCATGTGGAGGTACATGTCAACAGCAATGTCTCTATTTCTAAGCACTTATTCTGCGGTTACAGCTAGTCCCACTGAACCAAGATGACGAAGGGGCTTGCCCAGTGGGGTAGGGATTAACATAAGAAATGCTGACTTTGCAGACCAAAGTCAAGGCCCAAGATGCCAGCCCCGCCACTAAATGTCCTTCCTACACTGTGGCTTCATGCTCATTGCACCTATCTAGTCTGGAGGACTCATTAACCCCTGCCATCCTGGCCCTCCCCACAGGCAGGGCCCTCTCACCGGGAATAACAGCTTCATCCTCGTCCTCATCCACTTCTGCCCAGGCCACTCTCTGGGCTCGACGCTGGGCCTGTAGACGGCTGCCCAAGTCCCTCCGACGCCGGGGCCTGCCTCCAGTTCTCTGCTCCTCAGACTCCTGAGGCGAAGACCGGGTTACCTGGCCTGCTCCTGCCCGTTCTTCATTGTGCAGTGGTTCTCCACGAGCTTCAGGGAGGGAGGAACGGTAACGCTGTCAAGCAGCCCATCCTCCTGATAGTGGAGGAACAGCATCTTGGGAGTCTCATCCTCCCCTGCTCAACCTTCCCCAGACTCCTGGTGCCCACAGCACAAAGTTCCAACTTCGGTCTGTCAAGGCCTTTATTATTCACACCTCAGTCTGACGCTCATTCCTCATTTCCTACTTGCTTTAACTCCTTTATCGCCTTTTAACTCAGCCCCCTTTGCAGGCGACCTGTTAGGACACTCTCACCATGAGGCTTACAGATCTCACTGGATGCCCAATGCAAGATTACATTTACTTCTTACTTTAGAGTACTCCAACTAGAGAGTACATTTCACGGTCAGGGGCTCAATCTCCCTTCCCTGCAAGATTTGTTGGCTATGCTTTACCTCAGCGTCTCTCTTTTCCGCCCTCGAGACAGAGGTACTCTGATGTAGCTTATGGATTCAGACATCAGAAAGATACACGGACACTCTTATGAGTACATGAAGTGTCAGTATGGGAGAATGACAGATTATCTGTGCCAGGCCAACGGCATGGCCTTCTAATTCTGTTGGAAGGGAGGCAAAGCAGCATGGGTGCCCTCTTTGATGGGAGGGAGATGCCTGCAGTTTCTCGAGGCTGCCTGACACTCCAAGTCCTGGTAAACAGAACGCTCGGGGTAGGATTAGAAAGTCTGCAGCCTCTCCTATTAGAGCAGAGCAGAAAGGCAGGCTAGGTTTCCAAGTTGCATCCCCAGCCCTGGACTCCGTACGCGTCCACACGCGCGTGCGCAAAGCTGTCCCCGGCCAGCGCAGAAGCTTCTCGTCAGCACGGTAAGGCACGTCAGTGCATGCGCACGAGTTGTGACGCGACCGCCTACCAAAGCCCAGGAACCCTGAGAAACGGACTCCTTCGGCCGTGGGACGGCGGCACCTCCTACCTGCTGCCGCCCGACCCCGCCTGTGAGTCAGGAAGAGGATAAGGCCGATGAGCAAAACCGCCGCCGCCAGGTACACCCAGGGCCCCACCATGACAACAGAGAGCCTGACGGCGCAGCCGGCGCGCCCGCCGCATCCGCCAGGCCACGCCCACTGCCGTACGGCCTGCCCAGGACGCACGTTGAGCTCCGCCCCGCCCAGGGGTTGGCCAGGGCCCCGGTTAACCGCAGTCCTGGATGCCGCGCAAGCCGGTCGCCCCAGTGCTCGGGAAGTAGAGACCCAGAGACCAGCGTTTCAAGGTCGTCTTTGACTGTACAGCGACATGGAGGCTCTGCAGTTAAGAGCGCTGTCTGCGCTTCCAGAGAGTCTGGGTTTGGTTCGCAGCGCACACATGGTGGCTCACAACCTTCTGTGACTTCAATTCCAGGGACCCAGCGACCTCTTCAGACCTCTTCAGCACCAGGCGCGCACGTTGTACACTGACACACGGGCCCGCAAGACGCCCATGCACATACAATAAATCTTGAGAAAAATGAAAGAAAAGAGCGGGGCTGGTAAGAGAGAATTAACTGAGGTTGTACTCGGTAGTAGTGCGCTCCCGGCCAAGGCCCTTAGTTTGATCTGGAACGCTGAAAGATGGCAACGTGTGTGTTAGCATCTTCCTAATCCTGCAGCCTGAGCATCTATTGCGTTACTTTCGGTAAAATTTGAATATCTTTCCTCGTGCATTCAGGTGCTGTTACAGTAAACTGTTTCCAGCACCTAGTTCTCTGTAATTGGAACTTTAAACTCATGATCTCAAGCAGGCTAAGGCTCACCTCAGCCTTTATCTCAGCCCAGGCCCCTACTTCCTACTTTAGTGGTTTTGTGCTGAGTCAGGGTCTCTAATGGCCTAGGTTGGCCTCCAACTTGCTGTGTAGAAGAGGATGGTTCTAAATCGATCTTATTACATCTGCCTCCCAAGTGCCTGGATTAGCTGCGAGCAAAGGTTTGCACCCTAATGCCCAGATTCTCTTCCATCTTTTGTTTGTGTGTGTGTGTGTGTGTGGTGGTGGTGGGGACTGTTTTATCTTGGTTCTTTGGGATGGTCTCATACACTGTAGCCCTGCCTGGCCTGGAACTCAATATGTAGACAAGGCTGGCCACAAACTTAGAGGGACCTGCCTGTTTCTGCCTTGGTTATAATTAAAGGCATGTGCCACCACAGACCTGCCTGACCCCTGTAATTTTTTTCAACACATATTCTTTTGTGTGTATGTGAGTGTAGTATATATGAGGACCAGGTACTAGGAGAGGAGCCAACCCCCGACCTCTGAAAGAGCAGTAAGCACTCTTAACCACTGAACCATCTCGCCAACCAACATTTTAATTCTAAATTTAAAAAAAAAAGCAAAACTTTCAGGATGCATGTAATAAAAATGGCTGTTGATAATCATTGAAGTTGGTCTGTGGGTGCTAAGACTTCATAATAATTTCCTTTTTTTTGTAAGTCTGAAAAACAAAGCTGGGCAGTGATGGCACACTCCTTTACAGGTGGATCTCTGAATTTGAGGCTAGCCTGGTCTTCAGGACTACACAGAAAACCCTGTCTTGAAAAAAAGCAAAGGGCTGGAGAGATGGCTCAGTGTTTAAGAGCACTGACTGCTCTTCCAGAGGACCTGGGTTCAATTTCCAGCACCCATGTGGCAGCCCACAACTGTCTGTAACTCCTGTTCCAGGGTATCTGACACCCTCACATGAACACCGATCTACATAAAATAAAAGTGAATAAAACACAAGTATTTTTGCACATATTTTTATATTTCTTTCCATAACCAGTGAACAAATATTTAGATTTTCTAAATACTAAAAATTCTAAATACATGTTAAAGTAATAACATGGCTTGCTATGTCAGGCCAGTGACCTCTTTACTGACACAAAGTTAATATTTGCAGATTTAACAATGGTGATGTTCCGGGCAGAGGTATCAGAGAATCCCACCGGAGTCCAGCTTCCTCGGGCATGTGTCTGTCCTTTCTTCAGTCCTTCAGCACCCTCGCCTGGGTTCTCTGAGCCAGCCACTTGGGATGTGGTATCTGGGGACCTCTGAATTAACTGACCATACTACATGGTATCTGCCCATACTTACATACAAACCAGCAACAAGCTCCTCCCAGCCAGAGGCTGGAGCTGAGGCATTTAACATCCAAGAGGTCACCATTGCTTTAAATACCTCCTCTACCTCTCCGCTTTTCTGAGGATTCCATTTAACTTCATGGAGAAGGAAGATGGGTGCCATGCAGGAAGGGCCATGTACTCAACCTAGCCTTTCTCAGTCAATGCTAATGAGCCATGACTCCTCAACAAAATAATGCTATTGGAGGGGCAATGAAGGGGGAAGTTTATGGCCTGTCTCCAAAGACGCAATATACAGCAAAGCCTCTGAACTCTGTAACACACGTTATTAAGATCACTGAGTGAAGATTTGTGGAGAACATAGCTTTGGCTACTCTGTGAGAACAGTTCTAGTTTGTTTTTTTTTTTTTTTTTAAATTTATTAGTGATCTTTGCATGTGGCTCAGTGGTACAGTGCTTGCCTAAGTCCCATAAGCTCCTAAATTGCATCTACAGCACATGCCAATGCCCGAGACTGTGAGAGGTCAATAACATTAAGCTAAACAACCAGGCCTGGTTAGGATTCCATCGTTTGCATGTGTGGTACTGGGGTCCGAACCTTGGCCTATAAATGTTCTACCATCAAGCTATATCCAGGACACAATACATAGCACAGCCTCGTATTGCACTCATGATCTTCCTGTATTATTAGTCTTAGGAGCGCTAAGATTGCAAGTGTGCACCACTCTAGCTAGCACCCCACACTCATTTTGTAAAAGATCTGTTTTTGTTTTTGTGTATGAGTGCACAGTGTGATTGCTCATGCGTGCACAGTAAGTGTACCTGGTGCTCTTCGGAGATCACAAGAGGACAGTGTTTCCCGAGGAACTGGAGTTAACAGACGACTGTGAACCATCTTTGGGTGCTGGAAACAGAACTCTAGAAGAACAGTGAGTGCGCTTAAGCGCGGAGCCATCTCTCCAGCTTGATCTTACAACTTCAGAGAATCTAGATTTGGTTCCCAACAGCCATACCAGGCAGCTCAAAAGCACCGGAGCTCCAGTTGCATGGGATGATGTCCTCTTCTGGCTTCAGCGGGCTCGTGCACGCGCGTGGTAGGGCTAACAGGAGCATTCTAATCTTGCTGTGTTGCAAGGGCAGAGACTGGGCTGAAGGAATGACCATGGAGAAGGGATGGGATTCGCTAAGGTGAACAAGAGAAAGGAGTCGAAACACTAACTCCCAAGCCTGACAGGTAAGTAAAGGATGGCTTGGTTTTACTTCACTGGTTTACGTTCGCAGTGAAGTAGACCGAGCTGGCCCTCGAGGTGTGGGTCTGAAGGTGAGGTTAGGCTAGCCACCCAGGTTTATAGTCCTTGTCTGGAGATTTAAGTCTTTCATGACAGACTTGGAGGTGCCTGAGGGGCGCACACCGCCCAGGACACAGAGCGGCAGTTGGTCGCAGCGCAGCTTCTTGGCCCCTCCTCATCTAATCCCTGAGAGGTGCATGCCAGCGGCTCCTCGCGTCCTTCCCGGGGCGCGTCCCTGGCACCGCAGGCAGCAGTCGCTGCCGGGTGCTCACCTGCCGGGGCTGCCACTTCGCGGTAGCTGTCAGCCGCAGCCTGAGATTTGCTTTAGGTTTCAGGTAGGACCGGGAGCCGAGCTACCTACTTCCGCCTGCAACCGGAAGTGTCTTAGGGTTCCCCGCAAAGGGCTTCCGGGCACTCTTGGCCTTAACCGGCGCCTGCCATGGCCTCGTCTCTGGTGGGGAAGAAGATCGTGTTTGTGACGGGAAACGCAAAGAAGCTGGAGGAGGTGTCGTGGGGTGTGGGGGCCCTCTAGGAGGCGGGTGGGATAGGGCTTGCAGGGCTTTCCTCAGGAAAGAGGAGGCAGGGAACACCGGGAGTTGAATCCCCGCGGAAGGTCGGTTAGCTCCTGGTAGTGTGGAAAGGCTGGGCTTGGGGAGAGACCGCCTTAAGGGTCGGAGGATTTAAGGTTTTCCTTCCTATTTTTGGAGATAAGGGCTGGAGTAGTCCAAGTCTGACCCCGATGTGTAGCCAGGATTGACCTTGTTCTCTTAACACTCCTGTCTCCAAAATTCTGGGTCTACGCGCCTGTCTCACCACACGCTTTTGGGATGAGTTGGTAAAGTCAGCTGGCTGTGGGAGCTGGAGTAGTGGCATCTGTGACAAAGATCACCCCTTAGGCCCTAGATTTCACACCTGAGTTCTGACACCTCCCCTCCTCAAAAGTGATGGCAGATGCAAAGTGTGCGGGGTTGATCCAAACTGACCCTTGGTAGGGTACTTCACACCCTAACGGCCTGTCTACCGTTGGGCACTTTGCACATCTGAAATGTGTAATACCTCCTAAGAATCATGGCTGACCACAGTATAAGAAAAGGCAGGTTAACAGAAGAAAATCGTAGCAAATTTGTCAAAGCTTTCCATGCTACAGCCTTTAGAATGAAGGCCCAGAGACTTCCTTTTCTTCCGACAGTAGGTGCTCTGGCTCCAACCCAGGACTTACAGAATTGCCCTCACTGCACTGCACTCCTGGCTTGGAAACGCTGCTTTTCTGCCCAGATTTGACGACACGTGTATTAGAGAATGTGATCAGAAAGGATACGTCCCAGCATTGACGGGGGTGGGGTGAGAAGGAGCGTTGATGGGGGCTGCGCTCAGCAGGTCCACCCGTATTCCGTGTTTCTTACTCCCTTGTATGTGGTAGGACCATTTTGGAAGTGAGGATAGGTCAGATAATTCACTTTCTTGTTTGTTTGTTTTGTTTTGAGACAGGTTCTTGTTATGAACATAGGTAGTTCTGGCTGTCCTGGAATTCACTATGTAGACGAGGCTGGTCTTGAACTCACATAAATCTACTTGCCTCTGCCTCCCAAGTTCTGGGACTAAAGGCATGTACCACCACACCTGGCCGGGCCTTACTTTTTTTGTTTTGTTTTTAAGATAGCATTTCACTGGATAGTTCAGTCTTGTCTGCAACTTAGAACTTGCTGTGTTTCACAAGTTAGCCTCGACCTACAATCTGAGATTTAGGAGTGTTCTACCCCAACTGGCTGGTAGTTCCTTGTGGTCACACTCTAAGACAGAAGGACAGGGTAGTATAGTTTCCTCTGGATGCCCATTTGCAGTCCACTTAGTCTTATTTTCTCCCTGTTTGTGGGAGGGGGTAACGAAGCTTCCAACAGATGTCAGCTCTGGCCTCAGTTGAGGTTGCTCTCTTTTAGCATTGCTCAGAAGGTAGGGTCCTGTACGCGTGAATCGGAGCCTGATGTCCACTGGATATATGTGAGGCTAGCCAATTCATACAGCAGGGGAACCTTCATCAACTGAAAATAGGGACTAATAGCATTTCTGTACAGGTCAAGGGTGGTCTATTAAAGGGCCAGAACCATCCTGATTAAAGGTTTGAGATCTTAAGGCCACATTGGTTGACAGTGCCACCTGAATGGAGCCCATGCAGAATGGTGAATGCCAGACCGCAGACCAGGCTGGTGTTGAACTCACAGAGATCTGCTTGCCCCTGCGTGTGTTGGGATTAAGTGTGTGTGTGTGTGTGAGGCATATATGCTTGCCTGTGTGTGCAAATGTGAAGGGCAGAGTCGACATGAGGATATCTTCCTCAATTGCTCCTCCACTTTTTTTAATAGAAAAAATATTTTACGTATATAGGTGTTTTCCCTACATTTCTGTCTGTGTACCATGTGCATGGAGTGTCCATAGAAGTCAGAAGAGGGCATTGCGTTCTACAGATGGCCCTTAGCCACCATGTGGGTTCTGGGAACCAAGCCTTGGTTCTCTGCAAGATCAAGAGGTGCTTTGTTTGTTTGTTTTTTTGAGATGGGTTCTCAGGGTAGCTTGGTAGCTGTCACTCTGTAGACTAGTCTGGCCTCAAACTTACAGAGATCCTCCTGCCTCTCCCTCCTGAGTGCTGGGACTAAAGGCATTCTCCGCTGCCACCACCCCAGCTCAACAAGCCATCTCTGCAGCCCCTATCCACCTTGTTTTTTGAGGCAGTTTCTCTCATTGACCCCAGAACTCACTGTTCTGGATAGACTGGCTGGTCGGCCAGCCCCTGGCAGCTGCCTCTAGCTGCCTCCTAGAGCTGGCACTACACCACCGGCTGGCTTGTTACTGGGTGTTGTGGATCTGAACTCAGGTTCTTGTACTTCTGCAGGAAGCACTTTACTCACTGAGCTATTTCCCCAGACCCTCTCTGCATCTTTTTGATAGTCTGTTGGCATGATAATAAAGCCTATGTAATCTTTTACCATGTTGTGTATATATGTTGTGTGTGTGTGTGTGTGTGTGGTGTGCAGTGAAGACCAGAGGAAGGCAGTGATTGTTTTCCTCCTTATTTCCTTGAGACAGAGTCTCTCACTTAACCTGGAGTGTGCTCTTTGTTTGGGGGCGGGGGAGGGCGGCAGGTGGAAGCAGTCTTCCTGCCCCAGCCTTCCCCAGGCTGAGGTTACAGGTAGCATGGCTGTCCTGGAGTTTATGTTGTGCAGGGGACCAGAACTCAGGTCAGTGTGAAGTGCCCTTACCCACTGAGTCATTACCACAGCACACCAGCCCCGTTTTTACAAAGTGTTTATGTTTATGAGTTTGTGTGTATGTCTGTGTACCACATGCATGCAGTACCCATGGAGACCAGGAGAGGGCACTGGAGACCAGAGTTAGATTGAAACTAGAGTTAGAGATGGTTGTGAGCCACCCCTTGGGGTGTAGGAACCAAATTGGGGTCCTCTGCAAGTGCTCTTAACCACTGAGCCATTTCTCTAGCTCCAGGTCTTCCCCTCCCCCATTTTTTTTTTTTTTTTTTGTAAGAGGGACTCTGTAGATGGCCTTGAATTTATGATCTTCCTCCTTTAACCTTTCTAGGCACAGCACTGGGAGTTAAAAGTATGAGCTGCCATTTCCCCTGACTGGATACTCAGAAAGTTTTATTCCACTGCCCTGCCCTAATTTTTTTTTTTTTTTAATTCCGTGTATGTGCTGGGGGAGGGGGACATGATGTAGAGAATAACTTTCAGGAGTAGGTTCTCTTCTTGCACCGTGGGCTTGATTGACAAGCTCAGGCTCCCAGGCTTGTAAAGCATAAATGCTCTTACCTGCAGAGCCATCTTTATTGGTCTCTCCCTCTTTTCTTTTCAAGATAGGTTCTTGCCGTATAGCCTTGGCTGGCCTTGAACACATAATCTTCCTATGGCAATAGAAATAATAGTCTGTTGACCAAAAAGAGTGGGACATGGTGGCACATGCTTCTAAGGTCAGCGTTCTGGAAGCTGAGGTGGGAGGACTTTGAGTTACAGAGTGAAAGCCTGTCTTGTGAAAATGTGTGGCTTGCAATGAGGAAAGCTCAGTGGTAAAGTACATGTCTGGCCCCACAGAAGTACAATGAAAGTAAACTATATGAGGTATAATTTTCAAAACAATAGCTCACACCACTCTAGCCCTTGATTTTAATAGGGTTAAAAGTCACTGGGAAGCTAGGCAGGATGGTACATGTCTGTAATATTAGTACTGAGTTGGTGAATAGTAAAGGCAGGAAATGTTCCAGGCTAGCCCGGGCTACACAGTGAGTTCCAGGCCAGCCAGGGCCTAAAGAAAGAAGAAAGAGCAGACATGGGAACTGCAGGTACATCCTGATTTGCTATTCTAAATCCAAAAGATGGTGATTGTCAGCTAGGGGGTAAAATAACAAAAAGAAATTGGAAGGGATGGAGGTGTAAAGAAGGGATGCTGGTGGGTCTCTGAAAGGTGGGGTGAGGCCTATGGGCCTAATTTAATAAGCTGTAGAGGACTAATGGGAATGTTACCTAATGGGAAGGATGGATGACACCTCACACAGCAGTGGAATCAGTGGGGAACTGTTAGCAAATGGTGTGATCAACGTTCTTTCATTTTGGAGCAGGTCGTTCAGATCCTAGGAGATAAGTTACCGTGTACTCTGGTGGCACAGAAAATTGACCGTATGTTTTTGTTTTGTTTCATTTTTAAAAGTGGCTTAATTTACCTGTCTTCCTGTGTCCTGACTCTGTACATCTGTCTGTTTCCTTGTTAAGTGCCTGAGTACCAGGGAGAGCCGGATGAAATTTCCATACAGAAGTGTCAGGAGGCAGCTCGCCAGGTACTTAACCTTTGTGGCCCCCCTTCAGTCTTCCTGTGGGAACAGATAATAAAAGAGTTTGTTAGGACTTGCCAGCTAGACTGCCTTCAGTGGTGGCTTTGAACACTGCCTGTTCTGTCCCAGCACTCACTTTTCTGATTCTTGCATCCATACATTCCAGCCATATATCTCCCTTAAATGAATCCACCCCACCCCACACCCCTGCACTCACACAGTGTACAGAGCTGGGAAGGCACACATTATGGAGAGTCGGGCTCCCTAGCTGGTTTCCATCGCTTCACTGCTCTGTGGTGAGTAAGGTTTATCTTGCCAGTGCTTTTATGTCCACGTCTCTAAATTGAAGACAAAGAGAGCTGAGTTACCTGGCTCTTGATGGACCTGTAACTGCAGACCTCACCCTCACCTAGCTGTGGGCCAGGCCCCAGCCTGAGGAAACTCAGGCTTGTCTTTGTGTTACAGGTGCAGGGCCCTGTACTTGTGGAGGATACCTGTCTCTGCTTTAATGCCCTCGGGGGACTCCCTGGCCCCTACATGTGAGTACCCCTACCATCTTTACCCCTCAGGGCCCCAGCCAGAAGAGTAAAGTGATTAGTTATCTGATATTATGGGTCTTTCACTATCCTGGCATCAATACCGAGGAAGGATTAAGAGTATCAAAATATAGGGCTGGAGAAATGGCTCAGTATTTAAGAGTTCTTGCTGCTCTTCCACTGGGCTCAGGTTTGGTTCTCAGCACCTAAATCAAGCAGTTTATAATTCCTGTAGTTTCAACTTCATGGAATCTGATGCCTCTGGCCTTCTGGGGCACCTGCACACACACACACACACTCTCTCTCTCTCTTTCTCTCTCTCACTCTCTCTCTCTCACATACACACACATATAAAAAAAGTTTTAAAAACAAGAAAATAAAAAGAGCTGGGAGTAATGGCACATACCTTTAATCCTAGCACCTAGGAGGCAGAGACAGGCAACTCTATGAGTTTGAGGCCAGCCTGGTCTATACAGGGAGTTCCACACCAGCTAGAGCTACACTGAGACCTCAAGGAATATTAGAGATAGGGGCTGTGGTGATGAGTTGGCCCTTAAGAGTGCCTGTTGCAAATCATATGAAAGAAGGGAAAAATAGAAAGACCTGGAGGGGACAGGAGCTCCACAAGGAGAGCAACAGAACCAAAAAATCTGGGCACAGGGGTCTTTTCTGAGACTGATACTCCAACCAAGAACATTCATGGAGATAACCTAGAACCCCTGCACAGATGTAGCCCATGGTAGCTCAGTGTCCAAGTGGGTTTCCTAGTAAAGGGAACAGGGGCTGTCTCTGAGATGAACTCAGTGGTCTGCTCTTTGATCACCTCCCCCTGATGGGGGAGCAGCCTTACCAGGCCACAGAGGGGGACAATGCAGCCAGTCCTCATGAGACCTGATAGGCTAGGGTCAGATGGACGGGGAGGAGGACCTCCCCTATCAGTGGACTGAGGGAGGAGCATGGGAGGAGAAGACAGAGGGAGGGTGGGATTGGGAGGGGATCAGAGAGGGGGGCTACAGCTGGGATACAAAGTGAATGAATTGTAATAAATTAAAAAATAAATAAAATTTAAAAAAAAAAAAAAGAGTTCCTGTTGCTCAGTCATGAGGACTGGAATAATTTATATTCCAGCATTCACATCCAGCTTACAAGCTCCTGTAACTCCAGCTCCAAGGGATGCAACACCCTCCTCTGGCCTCCATAGTACCTGTACATATGTATGCACATACATCCACATAGATAAGTGTGCCTGCACACACACATAAGGAAATCTTTAAAAAGAGGGACTGGAGAATGGCTCAGCTGTTAAAGCACTGGCTGCTCTTAATCAGGACCTGGGTTTCATTTTCATCACCTACATGGCAGCTCACAAGTAGTCTAACGTCCTCTTCTGCCCTCTGCATGCACCATGCACATGTGTGCAAAACATGCATACATGTAGGCAAAACACAATAATATATAAAATAATAAGAGAATCTCATAGGTGGGTGAGGATGTAGCTGAGATGGTAGAGCACATGCCTTTTTTGTGTACTGAAGCCCTGGGTTCAACCCTTGCATTACATACCTGGCGAGCAGGCATGGTAGTGTGTGCCTAAAATTCTAGCACTTAGAAGATGAGAGGCAAGTGGATCAAAAGTTCTGGGTCATCTTTGGCTATGTAGGGAGTTCTAGGCCAGACTAGGCTGCATGAGGCTCTGCTATAAACCAAGCAATCAAAGAGACACAGTTGTCTTTAATTATGAGAATGTGGTTATGTAGTGACGTTGAAATATGGTGTCTGCTTGTATCAGAGATGATACGACATTTTGTTTTCTTTTTCCTCTGGCTCCCCTTTACCCCCTACCCTTTCCCCTTTTCTCTTTTCCTCTACTGCTGAGCTATATTCCCAGCCTTTGGATTATTTTTTTTTTTTGGATTATAGTTTTGTCTTGAGACATTCTTTTTCATTTCTCGTGCATCTGGGAGCTCTGATCCCTGTTGGGTGTAGAGCAGAGCAGGTGATAGGAAGATTAGTCTGCTCTTGGTACCTGACTCTCCATTCTTGCTTTTGCAGAAAATGGTTCCTAGAGAAGCTGAAGCCTGAAGGTATGTGTCCCTGTTGTTTCTTCCCATAGGTCTTTAGGGATTGAGTCTGGGAGTAGTCCCCACTTAATAATCAGCTGCTCTTGGCCCTGCAGTTGGCCTCCATATTCATCTCTGTTATAGCTCATTCTTCCCCTGTGCTCCAGAAAGCACTAAAATGGAGAGTTGGGACAGATAAAGGTAAAAAGCTTTGAGTTTGAGGGACAAATGGGCTAGTTGGTTCTGGTTATCAAGGGACTTGACCTTAATGACTGCTTGTGGTTCTTTGCTTCAGCTATGACCTAGCTTTGCCTTCAGGGAGGGGGTGCCACTTCTAGGTTGAGGAATCTATATCTTCTCATTTAGGAGTGTATGCCAAAATGTTCCCTCATTAGGTATGTAAAAAAACAAAACAAAACGAAAACAAACAACTTTAAGTCAGTCACAGCATTCCTATAATCCCAGCATTCAGGAGGCTGAGGCAGAAAGATCCAGTGTTCAAGACAAGCCTGGGCTACATGTGAGACCATCTCATAAAAACAAAACAGGCTGCAGAGGTGCCTCAGCAGTTAAGTACACTTGTTCTTACAGAGGACTGAGGTTCAGTTCCCTGAATCTACAAGGATGCTTAAACTGTCCATAACTTGAGTTCCAGAGAGTTTGTCATCTTCTTCTGGCCTCTGGGCACATATATACAGCCCAAACACTTACATACATAAAAATAAATTCTTGAAAACAAAACCCTTTTTTGAGAAATCTTATGTTAGAAAAGTATGAGGCCAGACTGAAGAGATGGCTCAGAGGTTAAGAGCACTGGCTGTTTTTCCAAAGGTCCTGAGTTCAAGTCCCAGCAACCACATGGTGGCTCACAACCATCCGTAATGAGATCTGGTACAGGCAGAATATATGAAAATAATAAATAAATCTTTAAAAAGAAAAGAAAAATGTGGAGCCATGTTATACTAGGGAGGGTCTCAAGTTCCAACTTGGGCTACAAAGTAAGAAACTTAAAACAAAAATAGAACCAGGTGTGCTAGTCTTAAGAGCTGTAAGCAGGAGGATCAGAAGTTCAAGATCATCCTCAAGTGTGTAATGTGTTAAAGAGTAACTTGGGCTACCTGAGACCCTAGTCTCAAAAGCAGAGGCTGGGGGTGTGGCTTAGTTGGCAGAATGCCTGCCTAGCATACATAAAATTCTGGATTCATTCCGTAGTGCCAGGTAATCCAGGTGTGGTGATGCATACCTGCAGCATTCACAGGGTGGAGGCGGAGGCTCCTCTGTTCTAGTACAGCCTGAGTTACAAAGCGAGTTCAAGGCCAAGCTGGGCTACGTGAGACGCTGATCTCAACAAAGAACCTTGTTTTAGTTTAGAGCCTGAAGGGAGGCTTCAGCTCCCACTTGAGAACTAGAATGCAGCCCTTGCCACCTCCCACCCCAACACAATCCAGTTTGGAGAACTCTTTCACACCTTTTGGTTTCTGGGGCCTGGACAGCATGGATTTACTGACCCTTACTGTATGTGCCTACAGGTCTCTACCAGCTCCTGGCCGGCTTTGAGGACAAATCAGCCTATGCACTCTGTACCTTTGCTCTCAGCATGGGGGACCCAAGCCAGCCAGTACTCCTGTTCAGGGGCCAGACCTCGGTACGTACCCACCTGACCAGTTCTGCAGGTCTCCAGAGAATGCTGTGGCCTGAGCAGAAGGCCCGTGATCTTCTGCAGGAACAAAGCAAGACGACGCTAGAGTAGTGGGGGCTTTTCATGTTCCTATGCTTGCTGTGAGACAAACCTGCACACCACAAACTAGAAAATGCCAGTCCCCAAACCTGTTTGACCCCTAGCCTTAGGCACTCAGATCTTGCTAGTGTAGGTCCTGGTAAGGTGCAGATGCATGAACAGAAGGTAGCTGCCCTCAAAGCCACAGCTACGGCCAGCTTGCTGAGATCGCCTTACTCCTCTGCCAGGACCACTCAGGGTTTTGAGACTGAGTCCCGTGTGTATTTCATTGGCCTTGAATGTGCTGTGTGGCCAAGGTATACCTTGAACTTCAAATAATACTGCCTTTACTCCAAGTGGAGGATTGGAGTCCTCTGTCATATCCACTCAGCAGCACTCTCATGCTCTCCCCACCCCCTATTTTTCTTTGAGGCAAGGTCTCTATTGTGTAGCTCTCAGTGTCCTGAAACTCACTATGTAGATCAGACTGGCCTCATACAGAGCTCTACCTCTGCCTCCCACGCAGGTGTGAGCTACCATGCCTGGCCTACAGGGTCTCTTGGTTGTCTCTCAGCCTTTCTGAACTTATTTATTTATTTTTATTTTTATTTCTTTGGTGTTTTGAAACACGGTTCCTCTGTGTGGCTGCCCTTGACTGTCCTTGAACTCACTCTGTAGACCACGCAGTCCTGGAAATCAGAGATCCTCCTGCCTCACCTCCTGAGTGCTGGGGTAAAGACCTGTGCCACCGCTGCCCTGCTCCTCTTATGTTTTTGCTTAGTTTTGAGCAGGGTCCCGCTTTGTAGCCCTGCTTTACCTGCCTCAGTCCACTGAGGACCAAGATTTGCAGGTGTGCACCTCCATGTCACTGCTTCAGCATTTGCTTTTTTTCTGACTGCTTTAGTTCGCATAGCTTGGTATGCTCATGGTTTGCCTGTGTTGCAGCACACCAGAGCTCTGAGAGTTTTAAGGCTGAACATGTTGTTTTATATATATCTATATCTATCTATCTATATATATTTACATATATAAAAATGTAAATTATATATTTATATATAAATTATATATGTACTTATAATTTATATTTTATATATGTAATATATACTTATATAATTTATATTATATATATGTAATTATACACACACATACACATATATATATATATATATATATATATTTTTTTTTTTTTTTCTTTTCTTTTGGTTTTGGTTTTGGTTTTGAGTCAGGGTCTTATGTATCCCCAGGCTGGCCTCTAATTTACTGTGTAGCTGAGGCTATCCTTGAACTTCTGATCCTCTTGTCTTCACTTCCCAAGAGCTGGGAGTACATGTGCCCCTCGCCTGTTCCATTTGCTGACAGCCTTCAGGTTGTTCCTCGTGGTTCTTGTAAATAATGCTGCAGTGACCCAAGAGTGCAGATGAGTCAAGATCCTGTTTTCTGTTCCTTAGGTTAAACATGTAGTGAGTCGTAGGTGCCTGGCTTCACAGCCCAGTTAAGATTGTTTGCGATTAGTTGTGATGCCTGTTGCTTTCCCAGAAATCTCCCGTTAGCCACTTCCTGCAGTGACTAAGTAGCAGCTGCCTTAGACTGGCTAGTTCTGCAGTCCTTTCCGGTCTCTGCTCCAGCTTTGGCTGCCCTGCACTTTGCCGCTTACCAGCTCACACTCTCCTTGAGGTGGCCTTGTTTCTCCATCTTTGTTCTGCTCTCAGCTGTGTACTCATTGTCTTCGGTGTGCTTGAGACACACTGTCCACAGTGGCACGTGAACAGCATTGTTTGTCTTATAACATCCCCTGTAGGAGGGGAAGCCTGCATGTGCTGTGACCTCAGGCTAAGAATGTTGACAATTGTAAGTGAGGCTCAAGAGTGCCTTAGTCATGGGCTTTGGTCACATAGCTTCTCACTAGCAGAAGCGTAATTTCCAGCTGGTACTGTGTGACTTGTCACTTATTTATGTGCTTAATCCCCATTTTTATAACTGCCCTCCTTACTGTCCTGTGCCCTCTCCTCTCCCCCACCTATCAGGTGCTGGGATACTAAGCCAGATGTTCTATGTACTAGGTAAGCGCTCTACCATTGAGCTATATTTCCAGCCCTTTTTGTTAATTTTGTTTTGAAACAGGGTCTTTCTGTTGCCGGTGCTGGTCACAAATTCAGCATGTAGCCCAGGCTGGCATTGAACTTGGAATACGCCTGCCTTGGCCTGGGATTTCAGGAGTTTGCCCCCATGCTTCAGATTAGTGCACCTTGTCTTGGCTGTAGTGGTGGTGCTGCCGCTGGGGCTCTGCTGGCCCAGAGCTCTACCCGAACTTCATCCCTGATCCAGCTCAGATGTTTCATCTGATAACATGGCATTTCATGACATTGGTCTGTCATCTTTGTGACATTTCATGTTTGAATCTGTGTGCCCTCCCCCACATCTTTCAACAGTCTCACTGTGTAGCCCTGGCAGGCTTGGAACTTGCTATGTAGCCGAGGCTGTCCTTGAATTCATAGAGATCTGCCTGCCTCTGCCTCCCAGTTGCTGGGCTTAAAGGTGTGCGCTGGCATGCCCTGCTGGCCTTGAAGTCTTACACTTCTTTTTCATCTACCAAGTGCTCTGTGATAGGTGTGAGTACTTTTTTTCTTTTACAGTCACTTGTAGCTCAGGCTATTCTCAACTATATAGCTGAGGATGGCCTAGAACTTATAGTCTCTACTTCCTGAGTGCTGAGATTACAGGGCCCCCTGAATGCTAGGCAAGCACTTCGCCACTCAGCCATGTCCTCTGCTCTTCCCTTCTATTTTTGGAAATAACCATAAACAGCTCAGGACCCTTACCTTCCTGTTAGGAGCAAATTTTGTAATATTTTTACTTATTGTTATTGTGTGTATGTAGTGTCGCATGTATGCCACGTTGCATGTGGAGTCAGAGGTTGCCTTTGGGGAGCTGGTTGGATCTAGGGAGTGAAATCAGGTAGTTTGTGCAGCAAGCACTGTTGCCTGCTGGGCCATCTCGCCAGACTGCATGTTTTCTGTCAAGTGTTCAAAATTGCCTCAACTTTTCTTTAGTGAGGTTACAGGTTATGAAAACTGTAGAGTGTTATCCCAGTGATTTTGGTGGGCCAGTCAAATGCGGAGTTCCTCCTAAGCCTGCTCTGCATCCTTTGTCGTGTATCTGTGTGCACATGCATGAACATGTGTGGAGGCCAGGGCATGAGCTCAGCTTGCTGTCCATCTTGTGGTACTGGCTCTTTGTTTACAGCTTCTCACTGTATAGACCAGACTAAACCTGAACTCCTAGAGAGCCTGCCTCTGCCTCCTGAGTCCATCTTGCTTGGTTTATTTGTTTGTTTGTTTGTTTGTTTTGAGACAGGGTTTCTTTGTGTAGCCCTGTCTGTTCTGGACTCAAACTATGGACCAGGCTGGCCTCAAACTCAAAAATCTCTGTCTGCCTCTGTCTCCCTGCTCAGATTAAGGTGTGTGCCATTCCTCCTGGCTTCATCTGATTTTTTTTAAAGGCAGAATCTTGCTGTGTAGCCCTGACTGGCCTGGTAACTCAACAATCCTCCTGATTCTGCCTCCTGAGTGCTCTGACTATAATCTTGCCCTGTCCCCAGCTACTGTGCTCTACTTCACTGAGGTAGAGAAATTTACAAGTACTGTGGATCCTTTGAACTAGTAGACATTTTGAGTAATTCAGGTTTAGTCAGATTCACAAACTAAAGAAGCTTATTCTGGTCTAGTACATCCCCTTTTACACACCTGTCCTCCCTATTACAGGGACAGATCGTGATGCCCCGAGGCTGCCGGGACTTTGGCTGGGATCCCTGCTTTCAACCTGATGGATATAAGCAAACGTAAGGAGCCCAGGTTTCCTCCCTGGTGCACAGGCTTGGGTGGGTGCTTTGCCGTGTGCAGTCATGTGCATGTGGGTGAGTCAGACTCTTTTCCAGCTGTGAAGCCATTTCTGCTGGGTTGGACACAAGAATTGAGGTGGCCCAGTCCATGGCAGGATCACAGACATCCAGGTTGTGCTCCCAGCTCACTTGGCCATTTTGTGGTCAGTGGCTCCTGTCCTCTGGCCCTGCCTATCCAGACGTACAAACCTTGTAGTTCTGTGGGATGACACTTGCTCCATCCGTGGGAAATGCACTTCTGTAGCTCTTTGTAGACTCATGGAACCCACACAGTAGCACATGTCTTAGTACCTCACACTAACTGCATTCTCTTACTCATATTTGCACATCCCCATTACTGGATCAGGTGTTCCAGCCTGGCCCCCTCGCCAGCCCCTCACAGGGCCAAGGACACTGCAGCAGCCCTGGCCAGCCTGTCCTTAGGTGTCAGGAGTGTCCTCTGATGTCCTGTCTGTCTGCTTGGCTGGTCACAGAGCACTTGGAATCTAGTTAGATGAGGAGCTGAGTTTATTTTTATTCTGCTTCTTTGTTTTATGTTAATGGGTGTTTTACCTGCATGCATGTCTGTACTCCAGATGAGTGTACTGCCCAGGGGTCAGAAGAGGATCCCAGGGAGTGGAGTTAGAGCTGTTTGTGAACCACTTTGAGACATCTTAATCTCTGAGCCATCTCTCCAGCCTCATTTTTATTCAGTTGTAATTAACTTAGCCACATGTAGCTAAGCCTAAAGGCAGGGTGTGACCTCTCACCTCTCTGGTAGCATCCTCACACATATAAAACGGACCCTGGCCAGCTGCTGGGCTCTCCAACCCACAGTGCTGTGAGGCTGCTGATCTGTCAGGCTCTATTGCTTCCTCTCAAACACCTACCGCATTCTCATTCCCAGCTTCCCTTAACAACTTAAGGATACGGTAAAGCAATTTCAGCTTCTCTCCAAGTCCGTTACAGAGGAATTTAGAACTGACTTAACAAGCTGAGAAGCTGGTGGCCCCTTGCCTGTGCACAGGTTCTAGATAGTTTATACCTACAGGGGACACCCCAGAGAAACAAACAACAAACACAGGCAACCTGCGTGGGTCTGAGCTGGGTCCTCTGCATATATGTTATGGTTGTGTAGCTTGATGTTCTTGTGGAACCCCTAACAGTGGGAGTGGGCCTGTCTCTGACTCTGTTGCCTGCTTTTGGGACCCTTTCCTCCTACTTGTCCCGCCTTAATATGAAGGGAGGTGCCTAGTCTTACTGAAACTCAATATACCACGTTTAGTTGGTATCCCTGGGAGGTCTGCCCTTCTCTGAAGAAGACCTTCTTCAGAAGTGCCTTCTTCAGAAGTACCTTCTTCAGAAGTGCCTTCTTCAGAGGGGCAGTCAGTACGGCGACTGAGAGGAGAGAAGGGAAGGGCTGTAATATAAGAAGAAGAAGAAATTTTAAAAATGTTGGATTATAAACAAATCTCTGGGCTCCAGGGTGGCAGTGGGTTACGCACCCTCCCAGGGTCTGGGCCCCTGTTTTCTGAGCTGCTTTTCTGCCTGTTAGGTACGCAGAGATGCCAAAGGCTGAGAAGAACACCATTTCTCATCGGTTCCGGGCCCTGCTCAAGCTACAAGAGTACTTTAGCATGACCGCGGGGGCTGGCGACCACTAGGGCCATGTGCTGGGGGGACAGGTGCAGAACTCCCCAGGAGGCAGGCAGGCCTGGCAAGGATTCCTCTGCTTTCCCTTTGCTGGGGGAGCCAGCCAGCTTCAGTAGCCAGGTCTAGGAAGAGCAGTTGGCTCTGCATAAGGGAACTCTGGGCCAGTTGATGCTAAACTCTTGCCCTTTGGGATTCAGGAGTTGCCTTTGGCTAGGCACACCTTTAATCCCAGAATTTAGGAGGCCGAGGCAGGCAGATCTTTGTGAATTTGAGCCCTGCCTAGTTTACATATTGAGTTCCAGGACAGCCAGAGCTACATAGTGAGACCCTCTTTCAAAAACAAATAAAACAACAAGATTTGTTCTTGCAGCCTCTGGCTCTGGGATCGTGAGAATTTTGAATGTTCTTATCTGGGTTGAGGGTTCAGCAAAGAAACACAATTTTTGATTTTAGAATGCAATAAATGTAAATTCTGGAAGATACTTGTTCCCAAAATAAATGTTATGTTGGTTTTGAGCCCTCTCTGTCTCTTGAGTTTTCTTTTGACAGGCGGGGAGCCATCTTGGGTGATGGGAGGGGCATGCTGTATAGGATGCCCACCTGCCTGCATAGCCGGCCTACTGCTTTCCTACTTGAGTGGTTGGCAGTCATGTCAGATTCATGCTGGGGGCAGAGGGCTTGGAGGTGGCACAGTGTAGAATGTTTCACCCTCTGCTCTTGTACATTATGGGCTGGCAGATGACCTGAGTTCAATCCCCAGAGCTCTATGAAGAGGGAGAGCCGACTGAAGGTTGTTCTCTGAGCTCCATATGTAGGCCATCGAATGTACCCTGCTCTGCATACACAGGAAATGTAAAGGCCTTCCTGTCAGCAGAAGCCTGCAAGAGTCCTGCTTAAGCTGCCTTGGACCATCAAGTGCATCCCTCTTCACAAGCCGCTCCCTAGGAGGGACTTCAGGGGCCAGTGCCTGCCTTGTGGTTCTTGCAGGTTGTTTCTTGATGAAGGGTATGTTTAGGAAACGTGAGTGAAGAAAAGCAGATTCCTGGGTCGCAAGCAGTTCTGTAGATACTCCCTCTAGTTTTTGGCCCCCAAACTTTGCAAGGCGTCCTAGGTCTCAGCCATTATGATAAAGGCATTTCTCCTGACATCAGCAGGGCATGTGGTCATGGGCCCTGCCTACCCCCTTTCCCATTGCTTGTTTGTCCCAGTACTTTTCCTGGTCCCAACATCGAGTACTGGGGATCTCTGTCCCTTGCTATGATTCTGGGTATGGCTTTCCCTTCAGGGAACGTCCAGACCACCGAGGAAGCCCGCTGGCCGCATGGGAAGGGGTAAGTATACAGTAACTTGGTGTTCACTTCTCGGCTCCTCCCCGAGCCCCCTACTTTACTTGGCCTATAAACAGCAGGGGAGAACGTACCGGACCGGATCCCAGCACTGACACGGACGCAGCTCCACCCCTTGCATCTGTGCACAGCTGTGTCCCTCTCACCCTAGCATGTTCGGCCTGCTGATTGGCCAGCTCAAGTCTAAGGTGGGATTCCTTTCGCTTGCATTTCTGACGTTTTTTCCCCCACAGTACAGTGGGCAGACTCAGGGACTCCTGCATGCAAGGCCTCCTGTACAGCCACACCCCCAGCTCTACCAAGAATTTTGGGCCTCTCTGACCACTCCTGTTGTGCTTTCCTCTTCTTGCTAGTGTGCAGGACTGGTACCCTACTCTGGAGGCATCTTCTGTTTTCTCTGTAGTATTAGCTGGCATTTACTTTTGTCTTTATTTTGTGGTGCTGCGAACCAAACCCAGGATTTTGTATGAGTTAGATGACTAACACTGAGCTATGTCTGAAGCCCTGGTTCATCTACTGTTCACAGCCGGGCCAATGCCCACGCTTGAAGGTGATGACACATAGATGGATTCTTGTGGGGACAGAATGACGACAGGCTTTAAGGTGCATCAGCAAGAGTTAACAGCACACTTAGCTTTTATTTTGAGATGGCAGTTCAGAACATTGCCATCACTGCCTGCCCATCCTCGGTATAAAGGCTTTGCTATGCAGAGTAGCACAACTCACTGAAGAGACCTGAGCGGATCTGAAGCCATGGGGAATCAGTTCACGGAGGGTGCAAAGGGCCCGTGTTGCTGTGGAGTTTGTGGATGGTGACTATGTGGTTGGATCAGGTACCACTGATAGCCAAGGTGACTGGAGAAGGTTTACAATCACCTGTGCCTAAAAATGTTAAGGAGCAGGTGCTTCTAGAAGCCATAGGTGGTTAATTGGGAACCCAGGGCTAGGAGTGAGTAACCCATCAGGACCCTGGAGGCCCCGAAAACAAAGGCTTTTAGCACCGTTGCTGGTTGCCTTCCAGAACTTGATGGCAAGACCCTATTGCAGAAGAGGCGGCTGCCCTGGCTGCCCGATGGGGGGTGAAGTTAGGACTGGGCGGAAGTGTCCCCTCCGAGAGCTCGCTCCTGCGGTGCAGGAAGATGCTGCTAAGGACGCTGAGGAGAAGGCGCCTCTGAGTCAGCTGTGGCCCCTGCAAGCTTCGCTATGGAAGTGCCAGGCAGGATGCGTTGTGGGTCTAGTGCACAGGGGTTGTGGACAGTCATCTTCCTGACTGGACGGGAGGCCCTCTTCACAGGGAGGAAATTGCCATCTGGCACAGGTAACTCAGACAACCTGTTTTTGCCCTCACCCCTAGCCATACCCTACAGCCACTTTCCTCCCTCACCCAGCACCTTGCTGTACTCAAATCCTGTCTCCTCTGGGTCTTTGTTCCCAGAATATGTCCCTTGCAACGGCCTCTCAACAGGGTGAAACAAAAGTCTGGCTTGTCTTTTTCAGAGTTTCACAATGGCTACTGTTGGAGGTTCACAGCATACAGATGGTACTCAATCCCGGTCACTTTATTCTCCTCCCAGGGGACTTGTTTCCTCTTCCCCGAGTCTGGGAGAGTAGCAGAGATGGCAGCAGCATGTTAAAGCATAGAAATAAGCTTTTATTCATTAATGCGCACACAGCGAATTCCTTATACAATCAAGGAAATGGACTCTCTCCTGGGCATCAACTCTTTTATCAAAAGAATATCTACTCTTAGCTCCACCCTGGCAATGTTCCTGACCCCAAACTAGATGTTAATGGAGTGGGGAGTGAACACACACCACTGAAAACCACAATGCCAGGGGGCTTTAGGCCACAAGACGGCAAGGAGGATGGGCCCGAGCCACGGGCAGCTCATGTCTCCCCATACATTGCCATCGAGCAGGCCTGAAGGATGGGGAGGGTGGCGCGGGTCAGGGCCTGTGCTCAGCATCCATGACATCCAAGTACTTGGCTTCAATGATTCGGGGCAGCAGATTGTACCTGCCGAGCAGAGGGAGGGGCAGACTGAGTGGATGGGCACAGCAGCCACCCACTGAGCCCAGCCCCGGGCGAGCCCTCCTGATGGCCGCCCAGCCTGGCCGTACCGGATCGGAATCATGGCAATCATGATGAGGGGAAAGACCATCTTCATGTAGGGTAGGGAGCTCACGCCGAAGGCACAAAGCAGTAGCAGCTGCAGGATCTGCAGGCCCGTGAAGTAGTGGATCTTCCTTTGGGGAACTCTCCGGATGTAGTGTGTGGGTGGGTACGATGTCTGTGGGCGGCAGCAGCCACCGTCAGGGATGGTTGTGCTCTCACTCCACCCGCTCCCGGCCCAGGCACCCACCTGCTCCTTGAGCAGCAGCGCCACGCGTGAGAAGAGCTGGTTGCCGTCCAGGGAGGTAAGCGCGATGTAGAGGAAGAGGCCGTAAAGCACGGGCTTGGGGATCCACTGCAGCGGGAAGGGCAGCAGCAGCAGCGAGAGGCCCACCAGGACACTGGCGCCCAGTGCGGTGAGCCGTGTCTCCTTAACATTCACGATTCTGTGAGGGCCCAGAGCACAGGGCTGCATGTGGGTCTGGCTAGGGCAGCGGCGCCTCTGAGCCCTTGTCTCCACGCCACATCCTTCTCTAGGTCACATGTAGCCCACGGCTGTCCTCTGACCGTCGGGTCCACCTGGCTCATACTCACGTTTTATATATGTGCCCATTCTCCACACGTTCCTCCACTAAGGCCAGGGCCCGCACATGCAGAGGGGAGTGGGGATAGGCAGCGTGGATCCAGGGTAGCCCAAACAGAGACAGCCCTGTATTGATGATGGCAAGTAGCAGGAGGTCCCAATGATAGGCAGTGCCCTTCACCAGCCTGAGGAAGGAGGGCACAGGTGGGCAGAGTCCCATTGGCTGTCACAAGTCTGGGACCCTGCCCCCCCCCCCCCCCCCCAGTCCTCAGTACCTGTTCTCTGGGGCATTGACCAAGGCAGCCACCAGGTTCTGCTCAATGAAGAAAAGCAAGGAGAGCAGGAAACCAAGACCCATGGCACTGCCGATGGCCTTGAAGGACAGAGAGTGGATCTGTGCCACCTCAAAGAGGCTCTCGCTGGGGTTGTATCGGAACTTGCTCACTGCAATATGGGACAGGCTTGGCCCAGTTCCCAGGGAGCCAAGCCACCCCACTCCCAGCCCATCCTCCCGTCCCGACTCACTTTCGATTTCCCGGAAGCCGTAGGAGCTGATGAGGGAGAAGGAGAGGACCGCGATGGGCAGGGCACAGTCAGACAGGGTCTCCCGCACACAGGGGTGCAGGTAGGGGCTAGAGATGATGGGGATGTCAGCTGGCCCTTAACCTCAACCCACGAGGAGGTCTCAAGCTACAGTCTGTATAGCTTGAGATCCTCCTGCTTCTGGCCCCTAAGTATTGGGACCAAAGGCTGTCCCTTACCTTTTCTTGAACTGGTAGAGGGTGTAGCCCAGCCAGAGCGTGCCCAGCATGATGAGGAGGCTGAGCACTGCTGTAGCCTGGCCTGCATGTGCGCTGCTGGGGCTGCTGGCTGTGGCCATCTCTATGGGGCTGACCAAGAGGCTGGTATTGAGTGCAGCGTGGAGGCTGGTATTGGGGCTTCTGCCAATGCCCATCAAGCTTGCCAAGGATGAGGTCCTTTTTGTGTGATAGTGGTGACCATAGTAGTACTTCCAGAAGACTGTGGGACAGGTTCAACAGGCCTAAGCCATCTGGGATCTGGGAGGTCGGGGCCTAGCTTCCTTACAGATATAGGGTAAAGGGGTGTCCCAGGGGAGGTGGGGCTGCTGAAGGGACATGGGGGCATAAATGAAAGAGGGCTTCTGAGGGGAGACAGAAGGAATCAGAGAGAACCCTGGCTTTCTCAGTCAACCAGCGGGGGCTGCTCTGTGCCAGCCAGAACTCCCACAGCATGTTTGCTGTGGGAAGAACCACCTTAGCTTGACACCTTCTCTGCCCCTCCAGGCCACAGCTGAGAGCCCCCTACCCCAAGCAGTCCTATATATATATATATTTTTTTTTTTTTTTGAGACACCCTTAGCTGTCCTCAAACTCAGAGATCCTACTGCCTCTGCCTCCCAAGTGATAGGACTGAAGACACGCACCACCACTCCTGACTTGTACTCACTTTTGACCATGCCCTTGACAGCATCCAGCACAAATGTGATGGAAATGAAGAGGGCAATGATTTCCTCTGTTGACCTGCAAAGCGGTGATATGCCTCAAGATGTCTGGCTAGGTAATCACTGAAGAGAAGGCTTCCCCACGCTACTGCATGGACCAACCCCACGGAAAAGCGCTCCTCCATGGGACTACTCCTAATAAGTCCACCTGGCCTCTCCGCGAGCACACTATCTATCCAGGGGTTATAGGGCCTTGGCGTGAGGCTGACCCACCTCCCCTGCAGCCCAGGACCTGTCACCTCTTAAAGAGATTCATGAGCAGGCTGAGGTTGAGGAAGGCATAAAGTGCAAGGAAGAAACTGTTCCACAGGCCCGTCCATGCGTAGAAGGAGTTGAAGTCCAGGTTGTAGTCATCACAGATGACTCGAATCACTGAAAACAACAGGACAGGATGTGCAGTCAGGGCTGAGTCAGGCTCCAGGACCTTGGCACCATCTCCCAGTTCAACCCAAACCCACTGCACCCTGGATGTAGATGGCCAGGGGTGCCGTCGTTAGCAGTATCACCAGTGGCTGCCCGGAGAACAGTGCATACAAGAGGCCGCCGATGCTCTGCCCAGCTATGGTCTTCTGCACATCTGTGGAGGTGGTAAGGTCAGAGGTCACCACAGCCCAAGGTCCATCCTGCCTGGCACATCCCTGCCACCCCTAACCTCTCACCGATGGCCCCATCTGTGTTCTCATCATTGAGGGACCCAAAAGCAATCGTTGGCAGGAGGCAGGCAAAATAGAGGAAGAGCGTGGTGGTGACGTATTTGCCCACGGTCTTGCCTTTCCCAATGATGCCTAGGAATGCAGGACAGACAGCATTTGCTGGAGATGCAGGACAGGCACACGTGGCCTCATGGCCTGAAAGGCTGAGCTCTGGCTGGGCATGTACCGTCGGTGAAGTCCAGTGGGTACACGGGGAACCTGTGCATGATGTCCACCCAGATGCCTTTTCCGAAAGGGAAAAAGTCCTTGCACTTCGGGGGCTGGGAGAGAAGACAGAACGTGTGAGCCCCAGTTGGCCCACGCCCCCCCCATGCCGCCCCTGTTCTGTACCTGAGGGTGTTTGTGCGTGCGCAGGGAGCTCATGCTGTGCCCCGCTACTCTCGGCATCATCACGGTGAGCAGCTGCCTCTGATGCACCAGAGCCTCTTTGAATTCTTCCTCTGTGCGTGTCTTGAGGAGCTTCTGGCGGAAGGTGATGTCTGAGAACATGGTGGCAAATGTGCGTGCCACCTCCATCGCGGTCTTGGTGCTTTTCTGGGGGCACAAGATGGCACAGGTACACCTCCAGCTCCCGTAGGGGGGAAATCCTGTCTGCCAAGTGTGGTCATGCACAGGCGACTGGCAGCAGGTTCTGTTTGCCGAAGCTCAGACATTAGTAAACCTTGCGGCTATATCCCCTAGGCCAGGCGGTCCCCGTGCAGCTAGCGTCTTTCTTTTTTGATTGTTTGAGATAGAGGCACACTCTGTAGACCAGGCTGGCCTACAACTATGACATTCTCCATCCTTCAGCTTCCCAAGGATTGGGATTACAGGCAATGAGCCACCATGCTTGGTTTAGTATTTTTATTGTAACTCAGACATTCTCATCGTCCTAGGCAAGAAAAATGTTTGAGCACTGACATGAAGCCACAACGGAGCTTAACACATATCTAGCCATATCTCATTGGAGCTAGGTGTCTTCTGGTTTGTCCAGGCCTCATTCTCTATTCTGACTAAGGTAAAGTGTTAAGGTTTAGGTATGAAATGTCGCCCTAAAGACTCATATATTAAAGGCTTGACCCCCAGCTGATGAGTCTAATCCTGGGGAGGTAACTGGGTTCTGAGAGCTTTGACCTCTCCAGTGGATTCACACACTGACAGTTAAAATGTCCTGTCATTACTGAGAAGTAGTGGGAACACGAATGTGGGCCTGGTCTGAGGAAGTATTGGGTTATTGGGAAGTACTCCTTGGAAGGGTATCTCTTGTCTCAACACTCTTCCCCCACTAACTTTTGGGGTATCAAACTCAGAGCTTAAACTGGGTGTGGTGGAACAAGCCTGTAATCCCAGCACTCAGGAACGAAGAGGCAGGCAGATCTTTGTGAGTTTGAGGTTAGCCTGGTCTATACATCGAGTCCAGGATAGCCAAGGCTACAAAGAGAAACCCTGTCTCAGAAAAACAAACCAAACAAACTCAGAGCCTCATGTCTGCTGCCACTGAGCCACAGCCACAGCCTCTCCTCATTCTTTCTGCTTCTTGGTTGCCAGGAGGTCATCAGCTCTGTTCCTCCAGGATAGATAGCACTTCCCATCTCCAAAGACAGTCTGCTCCAAAGCCATGCAGCCAGACAGCCATGGCTGACACCCTGAGCGGAAGTAGACCTTCTGTCCCTCAAGTTGATTCTGAGCTACCCATTGCAGCGACAGCTAACTCGTGGCTTGTTCACTCCTTAGCCCAAGTTTCAGGAGGTTCCTCTGTCAAACTCAGGGAGACAGTTCGGGCTGTGCCGACAGTGTGCTCCTAAGCTCCCTCCATGCTGCACACAGCCTGACTTCCTCAGGCACTAAGGCTATTGCTCCTTCCAACTGTTCTGGCCACACTGACAGTTGTCACTCACTCGAGTTCACGAGGCTCTCTCTTTTCTTCCAGCACAGGAATACTATAGGCAGCACATCTATAGTACTGGCAGGGCAGCCCCTCGACCCCCATTGCTGGTACCCAGAGAATCTGGAGCAGGTAGCTGGCACCAGAGTCAGGCAGGATCATCAAAAAGCTAATAAAAAGTGGATGCTGTGAAGGATGGAGAGATGGCTTAGCAGTTAAGGGCACTGACTGTTCGTCCAGACGACCTAGGTTCAATTCCCAGCACCCACATGGTGGCTCACGACTGTCTGTGACTATAGTCCAGGGAACCTGATACCCTCACACAGACATGAATGCAGACAAAACACCAATGCACATAAGATAAATTTAAAAAAAAAAAATAAATAAATAAAAGAGATAGAAAAATGGATGTCACGGGAGAAGGCCTGTAATCTCAGCATTGGGAAGGCAGGAGGATTTAGAGTTCAAGGCCAGCCTCCAGTTTGTTTCAAAAGAACTAATAACAGAGGGTAGAGGCATGGGTCAGCGATAGAGCACCTGCCCAGCTATGTGTGTACATGAGGGAGGGCCCTAAGGTCCATCCCCAGCATTGGAGAAAATTAAAGAGCAAGAGCCAGTGAAAGCTAAAATATGAAGGCCCTTCTACAGCTTTGGGCAAGGGGCTTATAGTTCCCATGTCAGGATTTTAAACCTTTCTTTATCAGGAGAACTCCCAGACTGGATCAGTTTTGGCCCCAACAAACGTCGGGTATCCTTGCCCAGGTAGTATATGGCCCAAGGAGTGCAGGTCGCCCAAGGAGTGCAGGTCGTTGTCTGGCAAATCCTAAAGGAGGAGGCCTGGTGGGAAGCCAGCCAAAGGATGGCCCCAATACATGGCCATATATTGGGATTTGTACCCAGGGCCTTGGAAATGCTGAGAACATGCCTTGCCAACAATCTGTACTGCCAGCTGCCTGAATAAGTAATGGTCAAAAGCATTTCTTTTCGGTAGGAAAGCCAACCTTTGGGGCATTTCCAAGGAAATTCAGACGCAATGTTCTTTTCAAGAACATCTCTAAGAATGTCAAAGAGAGAGGAAGAGCAGGTATGAGGGGCCTGTAGAGACATTTCCAAGGAAAGGACAGCAACCTGGGGACTGCTCAAGACCAAAACTCACCACCTTGGGTGGCGCCAGCACCAGGATGACAAAGCGAACCTCACAGGAGTTTTCCCCCCAGTTCTGTGGTCGAACCAGGCGGCTGATGCACACGTGGCGCCTCTGTAGGGCCTTCATGGTGCAGCTGGTCAGGACAGAAGAGCAAAGGGACAGTTGCCACCCTGCAGAGCCTGCGGCAGAGGTCACCAGGGGAAACAGAAAAGCCACATGGGGGCTGGAGAGGTGGCTTCACAGTAAAGAGCACTGGCTGCTCTCGAAGAGGAGTGGAGTTCAATTCCCGGAACCCCCATGGAGTCTCCCAGGGCATCAGGAACTCTGGCATCTGGGGCATGCATACACACAAACCAACCAACCAACCAGATGGGCAGAGTGCCCATAGCCTCTTTTCCCGAATTGGAGGAGTCACCACAGTTGTGTCCCCTGTCTGACGGGCAGTCCCTCGAGGGACATGAGATTCCCAGGCTAGCTCCGGGATAACAGGAGGGGGACAGATGCGGTGGTCGAAGGATGGGAACTCACATGATACAGAGCCATGACTGCTGGTACTGCACCCCTCGGACAGTGGCGGTGACCCCCTGGATGGTGTCCGACAGCAGGTGTACTGAGGACAGGGGAAAGGACGCAGGAGAGTCAGCTGCTCTGGCCACACAGTCGCCACACAGCCAGGGCAGGGAGCTGGCCTTACCTTTACTCTCCATGGGGGCCCCGGCATCCGTAAAGAGCTTGGCCATGAGCAGGTCCAGGTCACAGTCAGGTTCTGCGTGGCTGGGGTCCTGGGCAAAGCGGTTCAGCATAGTCCGAAGCACATCATCCAGTGAGGTAGCCGTCTCATTCAGGATAATGCTGGCCTGCGCCAGGAAGCCATCCAGGTCCCGGTGTGCACGGACCTCTTCCTCGAAGTTCTTTAACGTCAGATACTGGAGAGGCCCAGACACAGAACCACACAGGTCTCTGAGTTAGACCATTGTCTCTAGTGCCCCCAACTGCCTTCCATGATGGTCTATGAATATCCCCGCCCACCAGGAAGCCTATCTAGGAGAGAAGGCTCAGGCCTGGGCCAGACGCCAGGGAACATGGGGAGGACAGCGGGGCAGACGGAAGGGAAGCGGTTCTCTTGCACAGCCCTCCAGGGTGCAGCTCACCTTGCGGGAAGTATGCAGCAGCACGCAGCCACCAGTTGCAGCTTCTAGGTCTGGAGGAGTGGGAAGAGAGCTCAGTACGCTGCCCCAGCTCTTCAGAGCCCCTTAGCAGAGCAGGGCCATCTACAGTCCCCATACCAGATTTGGAGGGCTGCACTTCAAGGTTGACGTTGACAAAGAAACGGATGCTCTCGCCAGACACGATGGAGGAATTGATGGTGTCGAAGACCTCATCGCCCAGGCTGTCTTCTCGGACTTCATGGCTGTCATCCACGTCGTTCTTGAAGTATCCCAGAGTGGCAGCTGTCACCAGGAGAGACCATAAGGAAGGGCTCCAAGCCCAAGGCATGGGTATCCCTGCTTCACCTTCTGAGGGCAACCCTCGATGGTAGGAGGCCTCCCACCAGTCGAGAAGCGGGCTTTGGTTTAGGGAGGTACCATTGCTGGGCCTGCCTGGCCCCACCCAGAGTGGCAGCTGGCACAGAGAGCCGAGGCCCCTGCCCAGTGATCTTTTGTACCATTTTTTCAGCTTTAAGAACCAGGGTTCTGCACTATTCTGACCCTTCAGTTTAAAATACAGTATGTTAGGTCAGGTGAGGCAGGACATTTAATCCTAGCAATTAAGAAGCAGGGGCAGACAGATCTGTATGAGTTCAGGGCCAGCCTGGTCTACGTACAGAGTTACAGGCCAGCACAGGCCTATAATATAGAACTCAAGAGGCTGAGGCAGGAACATCGAGTTTAAGGCTAGCTTGGGCTACACAATGAGGCCCAGTCTAAGAAGAAAACAAACCAAACCAAAACCAAGACCAAATAAAACTTTGTGCAGGTCATTCATTCCTAAAAAGTCCCGAACTTAGGAGGCTGAGGCAGGAGGATTACATGAGTTCCAGGCCAACGTGGGCTATACCGTGACTCTACTTCAAAATATAAAGATGTGGGGCTGGTGAGGTGGCTCAGTGGTTAAGATAAGCATGTGCTGCTTAATCACAAGAAATTCAAGTCCAGCACCAACTCTGGGCAGCCCATAAATACAGCTCCAAGGGATCTGACACCTCTTCTGGCCTCATACACATATGCATTTACACAAACACATACACAAAGAAAAAGTCTGTATTCAACAGGCAGTGCTGGCACAACTTTAATCCCAGCACTCAGGAGGCAGAGGCAGGTGGATCTCAGAGTTCGAGGCCAGCCCTGTCTACAGAGTGAGTTCCAGGATAGCCAAGGCTACACAGAGAAACCCTGTCTTGAAAAAAACAGAGTCTGTATTGAACGTGTTTTGTTTGATTTGGGTGTGTGTATGTGTATATGTGTGTAACCAAAACCAAAACCAAAAAAAAAAAAAAAAGCCTTTTTTCTTCTTCCAGATTTCTCAGGCTGGGTACCCCAGAAAAGGTGAATTTGCTGCAAATCCAAATGACCCTCATCCCCCTTGGCTCACTGAATAAGACCCAGGAGGCAAAAAAGCCTGAGCAACAGCTGGAAGATGGAAGGCCCCCTTAGTCCAGCTCCCATCAAGATGCAGCAGGAAAGCTTTCATATAAAATGCAAATGTCCCCTTTCCCTGTAGCCCTGGAAAAGTCACAGCCTGAACCAGAAGCCTCTTCTCCTTCCCCTAGGCCCTGGTGCCCCAGGCCAGTCAGATTCTTTCCATCTGTCCTTGGGTCAGACAGCTATGGCTATAGGCATGCCCACTCTTGCCTTATAAGTCAGCGGAGTGTCTCTCCCTCCAGGGTCATCTTTAGGCTCATTCAGCGCCCTCTTCCTAGTGTTCTACCCCTTTGCTAGCCGAGCCAGAACCTCTTTCAGACTGTCCTGTAATTGGCCACCTGTGGGCGCCTTTGGGAAAGAGGCCGTTGTAATCCAGACCCCACTAATGACTGGCAAACACCTGCACAGGGACAGGGACAGGTCAGTGGCATGCCCGCACCTGCCAGTGACTCAGCCTGACTCATTTCCACTCCTGCCCTTCAGCTTCCTCTGAACATCCCAAGCCCTGTACCTCGACATCCTGAGCTCAGGACCTGGTGATCACCCCACCCTATCCCATCCCCAGGCCCTATCCCTGGAGAACTATTGAGCCCAAAGAAGTTTCCTTGCTTTTATTTTTGCAGGACGTGGAAACTACCCTCCTTAATTCAGGTCTGCCTTATTTCAAACTACTTCGGCTGGGCTGGGAGCTGCAGGTAGCACAGGCTTGTTGAAGAGGCAAGAGGATCAAAGTTATCCTTAGCTACAGAGGGCAGCCTGGGCTACGTGAGTCCTGTCTAAAGAATTAAGTAAATCCACGTGGCTCCTCCAGCAGCCAGCCTCAGTCTTGCTTCTGCTGACACTCTCAGCCTGGTACTTTCTTCTCTACCCGGGTCCTACCTTTTCTTAGCCTTGGCTCTCAGACCCTTTGGGACTCTGCAGGCCTCCTGCCACACCATTCTAACATAGCATAGCCACAAAGCTAAGCTGACAGCTAGCAGCGTGACATGAAGAGCCCTCATGCCCTGGGGGCCTGGGTAAAAACACATCACCAGGATTCCTCAATGCCACTAAACAACAAAGAAAGCTGGGGTGCCGCTCAGTGTGTAGAACATGTGCCTAACACGTATGCGACCCAGAGTTCAAGATCCAGTGCTCCGGGAATCTGGCTTGCTGGCGCAAGCTTGTAATCTTAATATCTGGGCAAAAGTATTGGAAATTCACATTCATATCTGGCTACTTGGGGAGTTTTAGGCCAGCCTACGCTCCATGAGATTTTTGTTTCCCTCAAACAAAATCAAATGAAACAAAACCAAGAAACAAAGGGTAGATGCAGATAGGCAGCATGGAGCCAAATGCAGGGAAGAGGCTGACCAGTTGAAGCAAGGATGATTGCAGCCTCTCTCCAGGACTGGATGGGGACTGGGCAGTGAAGCCATGCATGGCATGTGGCCTAAAGCTGGCCAGTTATGGAGGCCCTGGAACAGTGAACCAAGGAGAAAACAGCAAACCGTGCTGGCGGCCATCTGCCCGTCCCGGACCTCAGCATTCCTGGTCACTCGCTTCTGGCCAGCCTCATCAGTGGCCTACTGGGCAAGCCACACGGCCTACAGCCAGGTGGGAGCTAACCATTCCAGCAGTGAGCCACAGGCAAGCGGCTCTGCCATGCATTCACTGGTGGGTGCGCAGGCTTAGTTCCCCGGGGATTTCTGATACACACCAGAGAAGTATTCACCAGAGTCCTCAAGGTGTTCATTCTGTGACATGGCCAAAGGGCAGTTTTCTACAAAAGAAGCCAAAGAATTGTCACCAGTCCTGGAGTCTCCTGTGCCCTTTTCAATTCAGCCAGTGCCTGGAGCGGCCAGCCTTACTCTAGGGTACTAAATCCCTTAGTCCACCTACTAGATACTGCCTGTGCAAAGGGAGTGAAGGGTACATTCCCAGATCATTTCACCATGAGTACTCAGCTCATTAACCCAAGCGGCTGTGACTGAACCAAATCCAGCTCTAGAAGAAGGCAGCAGCAAATAGCCTCCTTCCTGGATTCCGCCCTGCCACGCCCAGCACTTTGGGTGTGTGTGTGTGTGTGTTGGGGGGTAGGGGGTGTTCATGAGCCTCTCCTCAGATCTGCCCTGGTGCCAGGGGCCACACGTGCCCAACTCAGGGGCAGTTTGACAGCCAGGGGCCACTCGGTGGACTGACTCAGCAACTGTGTCCATCCCACGGTGTCACCATGGTCCTGGGACGTCAGAGAGAAGAAGCCATTGGCCCAGGAAAAAAAAAAAAGGGGGGGGGGCAGAATTGGTATACAGAAAACAGAGGTTGAAGGTACTATCCGGGATGTTTGTGCGAGAAAGGATCACAGGAGGGGCCGCAGGCATGAGAAAGGATGTGGTCTGCACTCGAAGGCCCTGAGAGTGAGTGGAGGGAGAGGATTTGGAGGCACTCGGAGCCACTCTGATGGGACCTAACTCTAGGCGGAGGCAAGCACTCCGGTCCGCATCGCCACCCTGCCCACTTCCGAGCTCCCCACCCTCCGCCCCGCCGGTTACGTTACATCTTTCCTTCACTTGCTGAAGGTGTATGGAGATGGCGAACTCAGTACGAACACGGACGGGATGCCCGCGGCCACCCCTTGCCGCGCGCGCGCGCACTGGGACTCGGGCGTCCTCCGCTCGAACCGCGCGCGAAGCCCGCGCTGGAACACACGCCTGCTGTGGCGTGGCCCGGGCTTCTCACCCAGGGCTCCGCCGGTCCAGGCGGGCAAGCGGCCGGAGCCGGTGACACTCCCCAGAGCCGCGGCGCGGTGCTCACCGCGCGTCCTGAGCCGCTTCCAGCCGAGGGCGCGCCCTCCCCCGCGAGGTCTGCTCCGGATCCGCGGCGGCTCGCGCGCACAGGCCTGAGAGTCGCGGAGAGCCGGCCCGGGAGGAATTAGGAAGTTTCGGTACGACCGTGCGGCGCGGTGCAGGACAACTCCCCAGCGCCCCGAGGGTAGCGGGACGCCAGCTTAAAAAGCATGGCGGAGCTCCGCCCCCACCTCCCCGGGCACCGCCCCCGGCCCGCCTCCGCCGCGCCCCCGGCCAGGGCGGCCCCAGTCCCCGCCCACGCCCTCTCTGCACTTGCCCGTGGGCTAGCGCTCTAGGCCGCCCCCGCTCGCGCGTGCTCACCCGCTGGCGCCCGCCCTTGGTTCCGCACCCCTCCCCTAGGTTAGGAGGCGGCCAGGTCTCCGGAGAGCGGCCTGTGCCGAGTTCCGACCAATGCGGTGAGCACCTCTTTCCCCCACCCCACTCCACCCAAACCCAGAGCCGAGCCCCGACCCTTACTGGCTCCCCAGTGAGTGATTCTTCAGACCCTGGGCCTCGTAATGACCCTGGGGCACACACCTAAGCCAAGCACTCTTCTCCAGCCATCCCTCCCACTCCGTGCTAGATTCTGCCGGGTTCTCTCCACGGTCGCCCAACCGTGAAAGGGGCGGGGCGGGGCGGGGCAGGCGTTTGGAGCGCTGTGGGGATTTGTATATAAGCAGGCACGGCGAGCCAGCCGGGCCGGCGTCGGCAGCGAAGGTGTGGGAGGGCCTGCAGTCTCCTCACACACACGCCCTTCCAGGAGCCCCCTCTCCGAGGGAGATCACACGCTGCTCTTCTTAGGGTAAGCTGGCCCTGGGAGGAGAGACTACACGGCCTGTTGCTCCGCCTAGCTTTTAGGACCTCCTGTGAGGATTTTCTAGCTAGAGTCCCAACCCTATACAGGCTTGAGGAGTTGCAGGGTGGAGGTTCAGAAAGGCTGAAGAGCCAGCCAGGGAGACACAGCGTCCTGGCCTTTCTTTCACCCCAGTTTCTTGTCTGGGAGTGTTTTGTCTTCTGCATCGCTTCCTAGCAGCACCCCAATACCTGGCTGGTCCAACCCCTCCAGTTCCAGAAACTGAAGGAACAACTTGCCCGACCCTCTCCTTACTGAGGGGAAAGGAGCCTAGGGTACCCCCACCGTATCCCAGCACGCACCTGTGGCCTCCTCGGCACCATTCTGTCTCAGAGGAACCTATACTTTTCCTGTGCCAGCCTCCTAGGCAATGTATGAAGAACGGTCTCCTTAACTCTTTCCCACCTGCCCCTGTGCTGTGCCCAGAGGCTGAGGGCAAACAGTCGCTGAAGTCTTCCCCTGCCTTGCCTCACTGGGTGAGGCATGAGCCCCTAGGCTGGGGGATCCTGACCCAAATACACATCACCTCTCATTCCCTCCGCCCTCACTGCGTTCCAGGCTTCCAACTACTTTCAAGCTCTGCCTACCCTTGGGCACTGCTTGTAGAACCTGGGGGGAGAAGCAGTCGTTTAGTACCTCACTAAGAAAGAAAATAAGGCAGAAGTGGCAGCACGCACCTTTAAGCTCTGGAGGCAGAGGCAGGCAGATCTAAGTTTGAGGCCAGCCAGGGCTACACCGTGACTTTTTCTCAAAAAAAAAAAAAAAAAAAAAAAAAATCAAAACAACAACAAAACGAAACATAAAGACTGTTCAGGGGTTAGAGCACTTACTGCTATTGTATAGGACCTGGGTTTGGTTCTCAGCCCATGACTGCTCAGAACCACTTGTACCTCTACTCCTGACGTCTGATTCTGACCTCTCCAGGCACACACGGTGTACATAAGTAATACGTGGGCGAAACATACGTACACATAAACTGATCTAAACAATACCCAGAACATTAAGAACTTTTGAAATGGGAGGGGGCTGACAAGACAAAATGACTCGGCAGGTAGAGGCACTTGCCACCAACTCTTAACAACCCTGTGGGACATGTCCACCCCCTCCCCAAATAAAGAGCTTTAATTAAAAAAAAAAAAAGCCTTCAAGATGGCACAGTGGGTACAGAAAGGTTCTTGCCATGCAGGCCTGACTGACCTGAGCCCACATAAAGGTGAAGATGATCAACTCTGCCTGTGGACGTGGGGCCGCTCCACAAGCTGGCTGATGCCTGTCCCTGGCATCTCCCTGTACCTCTTGCTCCAGGGGATGCCACTCTGCCTTCAGAGACTGTCACCGACTCTCCACTTTTCGGCCTGAGGAGCTTCACATGAACCCAGTTTACTCTTCAGGCCTCAAAGCCTTTTCGTTCCTCTTCCCTGCTAAATTCCTGCCTTCCTTGGCCAACCCTCAGGGCTCCTGGATGGGAATACTGCAGCTCATTCTTTTCACCTGCTGTCTAGCTCTATCTCCCTGGCTAGATGTGAGCATCTGACAGCAGGACTGTGTTTGTCCTTCAAGGGTACCGCATGGGGGAATAAAATGTATGTATTAAACTGGTGCTGTGTGAACACCATCAGTGTCTCCCTACAGTCAGTCTGTGTGGGACTTTCATGTCTAAACGGCTTCTTAGGAAGAGTCAAACAAAGATGAAGGTAGCTGTGGCTCACATGTGTTAGACCTAGAAGTCTTTCAAGCCAGTGACTCTCCACTTCCACTAAGGTGCAGGCTTGCCGGCTGTACCCCAGGCAGAGGCTGAGGCAGGAGGATTAACAAATTCACAGTCATCGTCATCTACATAGAAAACATGATGCCATCCTGAAATATGTGAGGCCCTCTCTCAAAGAACAAGCTCAAGCATGGTGGCACATGCCTTTCATTCCAGTACTAGGGAGGCAGAGACAGGCAAATCTCTGTGAGTTTGAGGCCTGCCTGGTCTAATGGCGAGTTCCAGGACAGCCAGGGTAAAGTAGAGAGATCATGTTTCAGAAAACCAACCAACCAACCAAAGCAAACAAACAAAAGCTCAGGATCTGCCTGCCTCCACTTCCCAGTCAACACTGGATTTCATTCTTGTTTTCTATGTGGGAGCTCCGGATGGAAGCCAGGTTCTCAGCAAGCACCGTACAGACTGCCCAGTCCCCAGAAATGAGTCTTTTTAGCTAGAAAATTCCATGAGAATTTAGTCTCAGATTGAAACAGATTTCCTTATCAATCATCTTTCCTTTTTCCTGTTGTCTTTACTTTTATGTTATTTGTACATTCATCCATGCATGAAATTCAGAGATATAATTTCTCAATATGAAAAACAATGAGAGGGAAAAACTTCAATTTATTCACTGATACAGGAAACACAGCCATCACTTCGGGGTAAAATAGAGGCACACTCAAACTGTTGGGTTAGTTCTTTTCTCCTTTGTAGATTTATACTCATTAACTTGAAATAAAATCTTTGTGCCTCATGCAGTTTTTGCTTTAAGCTGATCAATTTAGCAATTCAGAAGAGGCCTTGGAGGGAGAAAGGAGAACACTTTGTTGATAAACACATTTATTTTTCTTGAGATTTTTGGAGAATGAAACATTTTTGGCATTGTTTCAGAACGTTAGGTTTTTTTCCATTTGGCTTTTTCCACTTTTACCTTCAAGTCGTTCCCCTGGCTCTATCTGGTCAGTCATTGTCTTGTCATCCATCAGCTGTCCACTTCTTACCACCACCAACCCGGAGCAGCAACTCTGCCTCCCCCAGTCAGGTATATTTTAAAGGGAAAAAGAAGACTGTCAAATAGGCGTCCCGGGACTATAGAGCCTAGCAGCGGCGGGCCTTTTCTCAGTTTGTGGGGTGGTGAATTATTTCGCTTAACACAGGGTCTGTGTAGTCCTGGCAGGCTAGAACTTGCTATCTAGCCGAGACTGGGTAGATAAACTCTTACTTGTGCCTCCCAAGTGCTGGAATTAAAGGCTTGTGCTACCATGCCTGGCTAATTTTAATGTACAGAACACTACTTTTTATATTTATCGTACGAGTGTTTGCCTCCGTGCATATCTGTGCACCTTGTTGATGCCTGGTAACACAAAAGAGAATGTTGGGCCCCCTGGAACTGGAGTTATTGGATGCCTGTGAGCCTCCGTGTGGATGCTAGGAATGGAACCTGGGTCCTCTGCAAGAGCAACAAGTCTCTTGACTACCAAGCCGTCTCTACGGCCCTTACTATTATCTTTTGAGACATGTGCTCATGTATCCCACTTAGAATAACCCTGAAATCCTGCTTTGCCTCCCCCTCCCCTTCCTTCCCCAGTGCTGGCATTACAAGTGTGTGCCACTATGCCCAGTTTATGCAGTGTTGAGAATGGGACCCGGGGCTTCTTGCATGCTAGGCTAGTACTCTACGTACTAAGGAGCACCCCTGGCCTGAGAATTTTTTGGTGTATGTGCTTGTGCTTATGTGCATTCATGTGTGTGCAGGTCAGAGGGCACCCTTCCTCTGTCAAGTTCATCAGTGCCATTCACTGTACCCCCTGCTCTCCTACCGCCTGGAGCTTGCCAAGTAGGCTAGGCTGGCTCGTCACTGAGCCCAGGGATTTACCTGGCTCCATCTTCTGGTGCTGGTGTTATAAGCATGTGCCACCATGCCCTGATTTGTTTTTTACTTTTTATGTGTTTGAGCATTCTGCCTGCATGTGTTCCTGTGGAGCACAAAAGGAGGTGCAGGACTTTCTGGAACTGGAGGTACAGATGGTTGTGAGCTGCTATGTGGGTGGCGGGAACCAACCCCAGGTTCTCTGCAAGAGGAGCTGGTGCTCTTAACCACTGAGCCATGTCTCCCTAGTACTCTAAGGCTGAGGAGCCATCTCTTCAGCCTTAGACTTTGTTTATTTGTTTGGTTTCTCTGTATAGCCCTGGCCGTCCTGGGACCAGGCTGGCCTTAAACTCAGAGATCTGCCTGCCTTTGGTCCCTTAGTGCTGGGATTACAGGCATTCTCCACCACATCCAGGCACTTTTTTTTTTTTTTTAACTTGAGTTCTGGGGATTGACTGAGGTCCTGAGACTAAGCCATTTCTCCAGTCAATATTTTTTAAAAAATACTTTATTTTCTGAGAATTTCAAACAATATATTTGATTATATTCTTTCCCATTTCCCAGCTCTTCCCAGATAGCCCCTACCCTCCTATCCACTTAACTTTATGTTCTCTCACTCGAAAAACAAAAACAAAAACAGAAAGCACACAGAAACACATTTTGTGCAATAATTTG